ACTGGTATAAAATAGACAAGAAAATCATTCAATAAAAATTATTTTTACTCAGAAACAAAATGCTCAAATCATTCGACATTTGTCGTAATTAGGTGTCCTAAGGCTTTTTGTCATCATAGTGTGAAATAATCTACATTTTAATATATTCACATTTATATTATTACAATCGTTTTATGGTATAACTTTTGATTATTAAATTAACATCAGAATTACAAAATTGAACTCATCCACCAAATAAAGGTGTCGTACAGGTGTCCTAAGATTTATTCATCATTGATATGAAACCCTTGCTTTCCATAATTTTTACCAAACCCAATATTCACTATGCAAAATCTAACAGACATTTTAATTATCTAAAGGGAATAAAAAAGGATCTGGTTTATACATTTGAAGCATTAAATAATAGTTCAAATCGAAACATATCCATTAATATCAGATATCAATTGCTATTGAAATCATAAAATTCATATGTCCCTATCTAGCAATTTATCATCATATATTACAACTGGTATAAAATAGACAAGAAAATCATTCAATAAAAATTATTTTTACTCAGAAACAAAATGCTCAAATCATTCGACATTTGTCGTAATTAGGTGTCCTAAGGCTTTTTGTCATCATAGTGTGAAATAATCTACATTTTAATATATTCACATTTATATAAATACAGTATTATTAATGCTATAACTTTTAATTATTAAAGTAACATCAGAATTATAAAATTAAACTTAACCACCGGATAAAGGTGTCGTATAGGTGTTCTACGTTTTGTTTATCATATTTAGGAGCAAAAAATTATTTTGTACATTTTGTCTACTAAATCTTAAGTATTTTTAGTCTAAAATTCAAACACGTTAGATCATTATGTATTAGATATAATAAAAAGGACCAAAAATATATAAAATTACTTTTTACTTATGGTAAAAAACATAAATAAATATTTTCATCAAAAGTACTAAGAATAATATTGAATTTATTTAAAAATTTAATATTTAGTATTATGAAGAACAGTATTTAAATATTTGTATATGAATAAAATTAATGGAAGATTACTTACATCTGTTTTCGGTGGAGATATACAAAATTGGATGAGACCTATTTTAGCTTTCTCAATTTTACGAGGTCCATTGACATTGGAAGATTTTTGTGTAAATACTAAACCATCAACTAATTTAGTGTCTTCAACTGTCCCTCCAAGTTTTTTAATCACTTTTATATCCTACAAAATTAAAATTAAATACTTGTTCTTATAACAATGTAATATTCCGTATATTCTATACCTTTAGATCAACATTGGTGTCTTTGGCTGGATCGACAACTTTCAGAACAGCATCTACAGCTAAGGGAGCTAATAATGAAGACTGTTGAGAAACCACCTTAGAATTTAAGGCAGTTGAAGCACTTTTAACAAGACTTTCACGATCAGTTAATTGTATAGGAGTAGCCATATTTTTAATAATCTCGATAGATTTTGCTGCAGCTTTTTGGAATCCATCTGAAATTCCTGTAGGATGAATACCTTTTTGTAAAAGTTTTTCAGAAGCTTCCAATAGTGCCCCAGCGACCACCACAACACTTGTTGTACCATCTCCTGCTTCAACATCTTGGGCATTTGACAGTTCAACTAACTAAAAAAAAAAAAGATAAATAAAAAATAGTGCATTAAACATTCAATTATAATGCACAAAAAGTAAAATGAATACATTAATGACAAATATAAAAATATTTTAGAATAACTCTTTCTAACAAGATTTATGATAAAAAAAATTTTTTTAGTCAAGTAAATCTATAGAAAAATAAGATAGGCAAAATCAGAAAAAACACCAGATCACTATTAGGCCATTTTTCTAATCACTACTACTTAAATAGACTATCAAAATATCTAAAGTTTCAGTGAATCTTGCTCCAACACCTAACATTTAATTAAGCCTAATATAATTTGAAAAATAATATTAAAAGCATAGCACTGAAATCTTTATATAAGGATGTCACACCAATATGGTGATATATCTGTACAACATAGCAAATTTGCAGTCCGTAGAACCAATATGTTGTTAGCTTAAATATTCTATAACATTAATTCAACTTAAAAAGAACGTAATATTGTTAGTTTATAACAATTAATTCATAAAAGAATGTATAATATTAAAATTTAAAAACTCATCTAACTTAAAAATTAAAATATTATGTATTTAATTTATAAAAGATAAAAAAAAAATTATAGTATGGTTTAGCGTAATAACAAATAATTGGAACACTGTTAATTCAAGAGATAAATAAATTTTATTTACAGTAGAACCTCTATCATCTGGGGTAATGGTGGAGAAGAGTAACACGGATAAATGAAAAACACGATTAATCGAGACATTTCACTCAACTAATATGAAAAAATGTATAATGTTATATCCATATTAAATGTGCACTAAGTTATTTTCTTAATGACTATTTTCAAAACAGCTATAGTAAATGCTAAAAATATAAAGAATATTATGGAACAAATTCAACAGAATTGAAATTTTTTTATATGCATTATCAGTAGCATCACGAACCATGATTTTCAAAAGAAGTTGCTTCTGAAATTTAGAGGGGATGGGTGGTAGAATGTGACTTGGTCACTTATTGGTAAATATTTAGATATATTGAAAGGCAATAGTCAAATTTGCATGAATCTTAAAATTTAAGGTGTAGAGTAAACACTATCACTGAATCGATTGGTGGTGAGTGGGGTCATTAATAAAATGTTTGCTTCCATATTCTATATAGTTCGCATTGCCACTATGTATCAGTTATAATGTGATTAGATAAATAGGATTGTTGAAGAACCTCTAGTAAGTCTCTATTAATCTTAAATAAATTTTATCTACCTGTGACATATATTGGCTAGTAAATAGCAAAAGGGGCTAAGCGACACGGTGTATACTACAGGATAACCAACAGTTAGATCTTTCAATAGCACTAACACTAGTGTTGTTCTGACCATTAAGTCAGAAGTAGTACAAGAATTGAGATTTTTTTGGGACAACCGACACAACTGTTATAAAAGTAGGGGACAAGCGCTTTTTTTAAGGGTGTAAGACATTATTAAAAATTTTATGGGCTAAGCAACAAATTCATGGCGCTTAGCCCTTACGATTGTTGCTTATCAACTTTCATAATAATAATAATAATATGAATAAAGTTCTTTATACGTCGTCTGTATACATACTTACGGTGCACAACTGTTACAAGTCTACTGAACAATTTATAAGCGCCATTTATCACAAAAAAAAAAATATATATATATAAAATAAATATAGAAATTAGAACTAAGCACCAAAAAAAAGTAAGTTTTAGTTAAATTCATTATGATAAAATTATACTTAATATTTCAATGTAATTAGTGTTAGACCAGCAAGATAACATGTAATAGAATGGAAATATATAATAACCTTATTCCTAATGCTTAAATAAATACAAAAGCGCCAACGCCAAAGTTAAGAACATATGAAAATTTTGATTTTGCTCTCCTGAAAAGTAGTAAAATTGTTGCTTAATCCCTTTTACCTTATATCAATGAATATGGGTATATTTTTATCATCGAATAGATATTTTACATTTTCAATAATGTATATTATGTACATAGTATAAAAATACGTTTGTCCAACCTAATAAAACTTTTCAGACAAACAATTTTTAACAAATAATTTTGGAAGATTGAGCACAGTTAATCACGAACATGGATAATAATGGACCATAGACAAGGTTAATCGAGGTTCCATTGTATATTCAAAATAAAAATTGGAAAAATAAATAAAAAATTAAATATTCATACTCTTTAAATCATAAAAGATAAAATATCTGAACACTATATGTATTTTCTAGATAAATAGTTTATAAGCATATTATACGAATGCAATAATATCCAATAACGCAATGGTTCCCAAACAAAGCTCTGCGGAACCCTTAGGGTTCTACAATTGTTTCTCAAGGGCTCTGTTCGTTTACCATATATTTTTTTTAATAATACAACAATTATTGATTGTCATATAAAATGAGCATATACATTTTTAAAGGACTATCAACTCAAATATAATTCACTGATCTGTGCACAAAAAATATTAAACTAATAATAAGAGAATATAATTTTTTACTTTAAATAACATGCAATCCCATTTCAATAATTATCCAATCAAGTATATTGTATACAAATATAATATTAAATATACATTATCTTGTTTTGAGTTTCCTTCTATATAAATACGTATCATGTGCAATATGTTTCATAGAACACTGGCAAATAAAACTTAATACTAAATATATTTTGGGGTTACACAAGAAATACTCTTTGAAAAAAGGGTTCCATTTTTTAAATAGTTTAAGAATCCATGCAATAAAGTATAAAAAGGTAGTTTGAATGAATGTGAAATTAAATTATATTAAACCACAATAATGGTAGTAAATGGCACAAATTTAGTAATTATATATTAAACTAATACAATAGTCAAATGTTTGTATTAATCAGTGTTCAACTTGACAAAATTAAAGAAAAAGTACTCTGATTACTTAAAAAAAAAAAGAAGAGCGTCCCCAAAAATTGTTAAGCTAGTAGGGAACGCTAAAATGTTTAGAAATTAGTTGGGGTAGTCCATCCCTCTGCATCACCCTCTCAAGTTTAGTACTGGTATTAATATTTTTCAGTAATCATAATAAACTTAAATAAAATTACCATTTTTGCTGCTGGATGTATTACGTTCATTTGTTTTAAAATTGTAGCACCATCATTTGTTATAGCTACTTCACCATTTGCTGATTGAATCTTAAAAAAAAAAAAAAATTAAAAAAATAAGAGAAGAAAATATAAGAGAGTAAATGTAGATATTAAAAATAATTAAATGTTTAAATATGTTATATTGATACCAGCAAAATCTGTTATTTACCATTTTGTCCATTCCTTTAGGACCCAAACTCGTACGGATAGCATCAGCCACAGCTAAATATAAAAATAATTTAATCAATACTCAACAATTTAAATAGGTAGATTTTAGAAAAAAAAAATGAAATGCAACATCTACACAACAAAAATATCTTATTTAACTTTAAATTTATTGTAAGAATAATAGTAAAGCCAGTAGATTTGATCATTGTTGGAATAAGTTGATTTAGTATTCCATTACGCTTCCCCTGAGTCACTGAACCGATAAATGTTTGTTCAATAATAGAAATGAAATCAATATCACAATAATAAGTATTTTAGAGATCAGTATACAATGATTAAAATAATTAATGTTTTAATCCAATAGTTCAATAGATATTTTCATTCTGATAAAAACCTTAAATACGTACTCCAGTCAAGGAAATAATTTAACAAATTTCTGAAACAAACCTTTGGCTGCTGTGATATTGCTTTTTCGGATTTCGGCCGGTTTACTCTTGTCTTTGTAGGCATTAGTTGCCTGTTTGGAATCACCAGATCCCGAAAATGCAACCATGATGAAACTTAACGAGAAAATTTAACGGATTAATCAGGATAAAAATGTTAATAACAGTGAGTATCGAACACAAATTAATGTAATCGTTGGGTATGGACGGCCAGCATGAAATCACCATGAGCAATAACAAAATATTGGATTGTGATTTCAAAGTAAGGTACGAGTATATAACACGGTATAACGTTTACGAATGAAAAGCATGATGATAGTTACGTTCTTTGTTTTTTATTCAACGCTAGATGTCGCCGTAAGATATATTTGTCGGGTAAATTATTATGTATGTGTTACCGGAAATGTTGACATTTAGGAAAGGATGAAAATTCCTAGGAAATGAAATGATGACAATTCCTAGTAGCGGAAGGAAATTATATCATTGCTTAGTATATGTTATCATTTCCTTAAAATTCCAGGCAATAATGCCATATTTTTTCATACATGTGATACCATTTTTTTTTTTTAATTTGATTTAATTAGACTTAAAATAATTATTTTACTATATATAAATGTTAATTACTAATATTATAATAAAATAATAAAATAGAGTAGTTTTTTTTTAACTTTTTTTTATCAATTTGATTTTTATAATTTCACAATTTTTATATTTTACATTTTATTTTTCGTAGTTACTCAGTTTTATTTTCACATGGTAAACCTCCATGACATTAGAATTACAAATTCTAGATGCCGATCTGCAAGCACACCTGTTCGTCTTGCATTTTGTTTTACATTGAGATTGCATATCAATTAGGTCTATTTGTGCACGTGAGTTGTATGCTGAATGCAAAATTGGTTTGGAAACAAGACCTCTTTTTGGGTTAGATGATTTTTTATAACAGTCGGTACAAAGACTCAAAAAAATCATTATTGTTTCTTTTGTTATATTACAATACTATAATTTTATTTCAGCCATCATACGGTCGCGACCACCGTGACCGATAGCTATATGTGTAGAGTGAAGAATATCGAATAGCTCTTCGTTTTTAACGTAATAACGTATACTGTCATTATCATGGTTCATGGCCTTAATTAAGCGTTCTTTATCATTTATTAAAATAACATCGTACTCACGAATATTTCTATAATCTCTCTTGCATTTTTTTTTAATCTTGGATAGTTTTACATCTTCCATACGACGATCGTAATCCTCATTATTCATGAACGATTTGTTGTCATCACGTTTATCGCCAATTAGTAATAAAATTGCTTTATTAAATTCATTTCGCATTTTATTGAGATCCATTTTTAACAAACGCACTGAATGTGTAAATAACAAATACGTACTGTACTAAGAAGAACACACTACTAAAGGTGGTATACTGCATGTACAGGTTAGAGACACTTTTAATAAAATACATAAAGATTGCGATAAATATATGCGATATGCGATAGATATTTTCCACACAACCATTTTATCGACGGTTGACAATTACGGGTTTTAGTAAGTCGCCGCTACGAGTTAGTTATCGTTCTAATAGTTATATTGTAAAGCCGGTCCCACATGACTTGTAACATCATGAGTTCCAATGCTTTCGTGTAAGAAAGTAATGAGTGATAACATTGCCTAATAAACTACGGAAATGATGACAATTCCTAGGCAATGATATCATTTCCTTCCGCTACTAGGAATTGTCATCATTTCCTAGGAATTGTCATCATTTCCTAGGAATTGTCATCCTTTCCTAAAATGTCAACATTTCCGGTAACATATGCAATTCGTGACCCGCGTTTCGTTGGAATTCGCAGTGTTGTGCATTATCTATATGATTTATATAGATCATAGAGTAATTACTCTATGATGTAGATATAAACATTTCTTTTTTTCTTATTTAGATAAAAATAGTGCAAGCACGGTTTAAGATTTACATACATATATCTTAAATTGTGAATGTAAGTATCTCTTTAAATAAATTATTTATCTGAGATTAATTATCTAGACAATTTTTTTTTGTTGCAAGTGAAATGAGGAATAAAAACACTTGGTTGTACTGTTTTAAATTTTCAATAGATATATTCTATAGACTAGCGTTTCTCAACCAGGGGGTCGCGAACACCTTGACTTGGGGTCGCGCAGGTCAAAAATAATAAAACGCTGATTTACAAAATGCATCTTTTTATTTAAATATTTAAGACTTTTTAAATAATTTTAAATAAATAATTAGTGTGATCTTTGAATTTGTTTTACATTTAAAAGTTGCTTAATTTGTGGTTCAACATCTGAAACACATAAAAGTAAGTTATTTTCTAGTGATAACAAACGATTTCTGTACTTAGATTTTATTGCCACCATGGATGAGAATCCTTTTTCGCATAAATAAGAAGTAGCGAACGGAATCAAAATTTTCAATGCCTCTGTTACCAAACTTCCATATTCATTTTTCCGGGCAATCCAAACCTTATTTAAATCTTGAAATCCAAATAGTAGCTGTAATTTCTTATCAGCTGATAATTCTATCAGTTGGTTGCGAGTCTCAACTGGTAATTTGGCAACTGCAACAATATTTTCATCAAATGGATTAAGAACCCATCTATTTGAGAAGTCATTGTCGTTACACGAGAAATATTCGAGTAATTGAATTTTCAATTCTCTTAAATGTGTTTTCATGGTATCAAAAACACGATCAAGAATAGGACTTTTTAAGTTTACATTTTTTTCAATGTAATTTGATGTTAAATCAAATGCATCAAAATTTCGTTTTTCGAGACGAATGATCCAAATTCCAAGTTTTTTGATAAAAGCATTAACTTTATCTGACATTATTAGAATGTTCTTTTCACGGCCTTGTAAGCTTATATTCAAGTTATTCAAATGTGAAAATATATCACTCAAATAAGCCAAAAATAGTTTGTCTCATTATCTTGAAAAAAAGTTAAAAATGTGTTATTTCGATCTTTAAAAATATTATTAATATTATTATTATTATATTAATTATTTCGCAACTCAAAAATCCGCGTTAACACTTTTCCTCGTGAGAACCACCTAACTTTGATATAGAAAAGTAGTGACTTGCGCTTGGAGCCCATTTCTTCACATAGTGCGGAAAACAATCTACACTGCAGCGGTTGACTTTTAATATAATTTACTATTTTTACAGCTTCAAATAACACATTTTTTAAATTATCTGGCATTTTTTTTGCGGCAAGTGCATGCCTATGAAGAAAACAATGTGTCCATTCAATATGTGGCATTAATTCTTTTAATTTTACTATTAAACCACTATTTTTCCCTGTTATTGCTCTTGCGCCATCAGAACACACTGAAATACATTTGTTCCAGTCCAAATTTTCATTTTTTGTTGTTTCAATAAATAATTCAAAAAGACCTTGTCCAGTAGCATGACCTGGTATTGATTTGCAAAAAAACATATTTTCTTTAATTGTCCCGTCACATTCGTAGCGAACAAAACATAAAAATTGTGCCAGGTTAGGTTAGGTTAGTTAGGTACTATTTGATTGTGCACATCAGTTGACATTTCATTAATTCGTCTTGATATTGTGTCATTTGAAAGTGGAATAGTTTTTAATTTGTTTGCTTCTTTTGCACCTATCATAATATTGACCATATCAATAGCAGCGGGTAGAATGAGGTTCTCAGCAATCGTGTGCGGCTTTGATTCCCTAATATAATTCTTGAATGCAATTTAGTATACAAATATTAAGTTACTAGTGTGATTTTTGAGGTTGAATTTTTCCCACCAATTCATTTATATCCGCTTTTAAATTGGATGTTGATATCCTTAAAACAGCATTCAAGTGTTCATCGCTTAACCGTGAACAATATTTATTTTTTCGGAATTTAAGTATTGAGAATGTCTGCTCACAAATATATGTGCTACCAAAAGCAGTAATCATTTTTTTAGCAAAACTTTTAATGCCTTTAAAATCTATTTCAGAAAGACTTGAATAAAATATTTTTAGGTCATTACTTTCTTTAAAAGCATTTTTAAGAATATCGTTCCTATATCTGTACTGAATGTTGAGTCCACCTGACCACTGCCAATCAGATATCGTTGGCTTACTGGTAAATTTATATTAAAATGCTCATTTTTATCAAAATCTCCAATAATCGATATATTTAACTCGATTAATATTAAATGGATATTCGTTCGAAGGTTCTTACCGTTACTTTCATCCATGATTCAAGCGTTCTCACGGTTTTTCCCCATGTTTACAAAGTTCACAAACAACCTTTATATGACATAAACTTTAATGCATTAACTCTCACCTCAGACGTGATGGTGTCACCCAACTTTCTGGGCCACACCCCTAATGATTTACGACTTATGCCTCCATGCATAATTAATAACCTATTTAGACAGTTTATTGCCGATAACTTTAATTCGTTTACCTTGGTATTTACGGATGGGTCAGTCACACAATAAGGTGCGGCGTTTGCTTACTTTTTCCCAGAATTACATATACAATCTTCCTCCAACCTTTCTGCTTTCGTCTCTTCATTCACGGCTGAATGCTGGGCTATCCTAGAAGCTCTCACATGCATAAGTTCTCTCCCCTGCGGAGATTTTCTTATTGTCTCTGATTCTCAAGCTAGTATTTTAGCAATCGTTAGTTACCCCTTCTTTTCGAAGTGCTCCCCCCATAATTCTAAAAATCCGCGCATTACTACTATCCCTCAAAATCAGGTCATTCTCCATCTCCTTCCTATGGGCTCCAGGGCATATAGGCATAAATGGTAACGAATACGTTGATTCGTTAGCTGGCTCAACCGCCAACCACTCTTACTCGGGTCCACTGTGGTGTCCCTATACAGATTTAGTCTCTTTACATCGCAAAGTTATAAATGAACAATAGAAGCTGGAATGGGATTCCTTACCAGAATCCTATGCTTTTGGTTATAGGTCATTATTTAAAAACATCCCTAATCGACCATGGTTTCATTCCCTAAAGATGAGCCGTGCAGCCATAGCTAAATTCACTAGATTACGCACGGGCCATAGCCTATTACCACACCACTCATTTAAATTGGGACTCAACAGTAGTGCGTGTTGTCCTCTACCCAACTGTGGTGGAGAATACTGTGATTTCTATCACCTACTCATTAATTGTCCATCTCTATCTATCCAAAGATCCCAACTAAAGATTCTCTTTTTCATCTCTGGTATTAATTTTTCCCTTATTGATGCTCTTTCAACCGACAATACCAATATAATTAAACATACGCTAAATTTTATACTGCAATCAGGTCTCCGAATTTAAGAGTGTGAGCTTTACCAACCTTAATTTTTTTTCGAACTCGTGTACATAATTGTCGAGATATCATAATGTAATGTTAAAATCTCATTAAAAAAAAAAAAAATAAATAAATATCGTTGTTTTGCAATTCTATGACTTCCATCTGTAAATTAGATTCAACATCGTCAATGTCAACAGAAAAAGGGTTTTGAAACAATTTGATTTTATTCTCTTGTACGTAAAAATCAGAAAATCGTATTGAAAATTCGTTTTGTAGGTTTTCAATTAAATTTAAAAAATTAATTTTTGTAGTTTCCCAATTTAAAGTTGATTTGGTTGATTCTAATACAGTTTTACAGCATACGAAGTGCTGTTCATTAATATGTTTGTGTAATAATTTTAATTTCACTTGAAATGATTTTATATTTGAATACATATCTGTCAACAATTTGTCTTTACCTTGTAGTTTTGTATTCAGCTCATTTAATAAAGTTGTTATATCAGTTAAAAATGCCAGATTAAGAACCCACTTTTCATTTGATAATTCTGGTACAATTTTACCTTTTTCTGACATAAAAATATTTATTTCATTTCGTAAAATAAAAAACCGTTTCAAAACCACACCTCTACTCAACCACCTTACTTCGGAAAAATATATTACATCCCCATATTCAGCATCGCATTCTTCTAAAAATATTTTGAATTGACGATGTGCCAAAGCATTTTTGCGTATGTAGTTAACCGTCGATACTACAATATTCATTACATCTTTCCATGTTAAAACTTTGCAAAATAATGCCTCTTGATGTATGATGCAATGAAATATCATAGGTGCTTCATGTCTTTCTTCCACCATTTTCGCATTTATTCTCCCAATTAATCCTTTATTAATTCCACTCATATTTCTACCACCGTCTGTAGTAACACTAACTAGTTTGTTCAAACTTAATCCAAGTTTTTTAAATGTTTTGTCAATTTCGATAAATAAGTCTTCTCCCGTTGTAGTTCCCTTCAAACTACATAATTCAGCTAATTCTTCAGAAATATTGAAATTAAAATCAATTCCTCGAATAAATATTAATAACTGAGCAGTATCACAAACATCAGTACTTTCGTCAGTTGCGATAGAAAAACAATCAAATTTAGAAACTTTTTCTTTCAGTTTGAATATTAAATTTGTTCCTAATTCTTCGGTACGTCTAACACAGGTTATAGCTGAGAGACTGATGTCTTCAAATTGTTTTTTTTTCTCAGGGCATATTTCATTTACAACGGCTAACATACATTTTTTTATAAACTCAGAGTCGTTGAATGGACGATTACACTTGGCTATCATTTCAGCAACTATGAAACTAGCTCGTACTCCTGATTCGTTTTGATTATGTTGTAATTTAAAACTATTTTGTTGATTAGTTAATGAACTTTTAAAATTGTTTATTTTAATCTGTCTAAGATCACCAGTGAGAGTGCACGCCTATGCCTACACGAATACTTAGCTACTATGGCTGTTCATCGTAGGGTTGTCAATATAACTACTGACGAAATACTGGACGAATTGGCAAAAAAAACAAAAAAATAAATTTAATAATATAATTAAAACATGCATAGTTAATTAATTTTATGTTTAAAAATACAAATTTTTCAAAATATTGTTTGCTAAAAAAAAAATCAGCTACCCCCCCCCCCCCACCATGACAAAATCATTTGACCGCCGCTGTTTGTCTTGAATAAGAAAATTCATTTACAGACAACGTCGGAAAATAGTTCTTGTAACACGTGCTTCATTAAATTAACTCATCCAAAATTTAAAAACTATATACATAAACATACTATATACACATCGTAATGAAATATTTGCCACATTGATAAAGAGTCAGAAGTCATGAATTATTTATATAACTCAATTATTTGTTAAATATTAATAAAAATGTATAACTTGAAACATAGCTTAGGTACTCTACAACAGTTAACAAAAAAAGCAATGGATGTTGTGGCAACTAAAATTTTGGGGCTTGGGGAAAAATTAGCCAAAATGCCCCCCCTTTTGATGGCCCTGAACACTAAAACTCTGTTAAAAATAAGTTACAATACCTATCTAAATATAGTTAAAAAAATTAATTATTAATAAATTCTCGTGTTTTTGTTAGGAATACTTTTTGAGTTAAATAAATAATTTTAAAAATTGTTCAAAATAACTAATCTACTTTATAAAGTTAGGTATATCAATTTGTGACATGTGTTATTTAACAAATAAAGTAAAATGTATAAATTGATACATTAATGCATAGTGATTTTAATACATAGATAATTTATTTGCAGAATTATTTTCTTGTGGCTTAGGTAAATAGTTATACTAACATTATTTATATAATCAATATTAGTTAATTAGGTACATAATACATACTTAAAATAAATCTTTTAAGCATATTTTTAATCGGAATAACAATGTGCAATTTAGTGAGACTTCTCTTTTGTACAACATTGCACATATTGCATCATACATTCATACTTATTACATAAAAACTATCCACATTAGTTACGGTTTTTGGTAATAATCACAGCGTTTGACCTTAAAGTAATATTATAAAGTCTAGGATTTATGATAATAAATATTTAATTAATAAAAAAGAGGTTATGGTTTACTAATATGTTTGTTTTCTACAGCAATATATTATTATATTTGTTTCTAAGTAAAATAATATTGTGTGGATCATGTATACGCTGTTCATGGTACAAACTATTACAAATTAATAAAAAAGTATTCAAACCGTGAACACATAAATGTAGATTTAGCAGTTATGACCTACATAAAATTATAGGTAAATTTCACTAGGAAAAAATGTACATTTTATTTTTCGTAGACATTTTACCGTTATACGTAGGTATAATTGATTGATTCGTTTGTGATTGTAATACTATTCTTTGTTAAAACCAAAACATATTTTTTGTTAATTTCATAAATAATTATGAACAGAAATCGTAACTCGTGAATAATGTGATGTAAGTTTACTCTCAGTTATCCGTGCATGAAAAATGTATAAGATTTCATTTTATAAATTTGTATTTCGCGTTCTGCTTAAGTATTATTTTTATGTTTTTTTGTATACAAGATATCATATCTACCTAAATGTACTATATTATTTCCTAGTACGATAACAGCTGAGCACTTTCGCTTGTCGTTGATTATGAGTGGGATGAGATAACGGGATATAGGATTGCATCAGTGTATGTTTTACAATCATTTAGTAGCACAGAAACATTTATTAACGAGTGACAATTGATTTCCATTGTGTTTGTTTAGGTTGTTGCTAGCTGAGTTATAACATTCCTTTGTTGTTGACTGGAATTAATTGAAACGTGCGTGGTTGATTTTTATTTACCGGAAACTATGTCGACCATATTAAAAATTCTGAAAATTGTTGATAAAACGGAACAATACCTTGAGCCTTCATCAATTGAATTTTAATACTTTGAAAAATAAACAATTAATTTTAACTAACATGATTGTGAGTATTGTTTAAATATAATGCTTAAATAATATAATAGTTATTGTAATGACATCACATTACATCAGTACAATTAAATTTAAATACTTTATTATTAATTAATTGGATAATGTTTGTTTTGATATAGTCTGAGAATAATGGAGAGTTCAGCATTAATGATAGTCATAATATCAAAGTTCAAAGTACCAAACCAAGCCAAGTGAGTAATATACTCAAATTAATTTATTAAGTAATTTAAATAGTTAGGAAATCTGATTATATAGACAATTTAAGATCCTTTCATTATTAATCCCACTTAAATCTTGAGCTTTTGGTTTTAAAGACATTTTTTGTTCAAAGTATTATTATTTAATATTATAAGATATGATAAGATTGCATATTTATTCTTATGTTTTAAACAATCAAGGTATTGCAAATAACTCATTTATCTTAAACATTTTGGTAAAAAACCTATTAAAAGGTAAAATTATATAACTGTATCAGTTTGGTGTATTTTTTTCAAGTTGTCAGTGATTAATAAATTATATTTAAATTAAATAAATACATGTATTCAGTAAATAATATATTATGTTGGTTACAACTTATATAAATTTTATGCTACTAATATTTTAGAAAAGTAGGATGTAACAATTAGTTTTAGTTACTCAATTAATTAGGTACTACCTATTTGTAGAAGAAAATACAATGTTACTAATTAATTATATTTTCATTATTGCATTAATTTTTAATAATTTATGCACATTATTTTTAAGATGAGGTTATCATAGTATTATTTTTTTAATAGCTTACCATTTTTTATATTTATGCATGTCATACATATTGTATATATCTTTAATGTTACATATTTTTTCACTATAGAATAATTATACATATTTATTTAATTTTCAAATTCAAGTTAGAATATTTTATTATTTACTTAATCAAAATTACTCAGAGTAATTTCTATTTATATTATTTATGAAATTAGTCAAGTAATTATTATTGGTAAATTTACGTTTTTTTTTGTAATTAATTTATGTTCAATTGTTTTATTCTTCAGTCAATTATACCCAGGTAACTGAATTATATAAAACTGTAAGTATACATTTAAATAATAACCCAATTTATTATACTTAATTACTATAGAACATTTAAATTAGACATATGTTTAATACTTATTAGCTATCATTATTTTTTAATTATGGAACAATTAATATTTTAATGATGTAGAACATTTTAATTATAAGCTTTACTTTTATAATATTTATATTTATTCGTAATTATATGAGATGTATCACAATTTATACTAAATCACAATATCATCAACAATCCAATCAAAATATATCACAAAACCAAGTTTTTAAATTTAAAAATATTTTTATTCATAGCTAAAAAGATACCAAAAAGCAAATATTTACTAAAATATAATTATTTCATTTGAATTTAAATTATAGTTTATATTTAAGTTTGTAATAACTGTTTACACTTCTGCCAATTAATTATTATTAATCACACAATCAGTGTTTTTTTTATTTTTTTTTTAATTTGTTTCATAATTCAAATCTTGATTTCTTCTTATGTATCAATTATACTAAGGTCATAGGCATCTAAAATATGGATATTGGCATTACTTTAAATTAATCATTTTATTTTTATTGTTAGAAATTATTTATATTTCTAAATATTTAATTAAATTTAATTCCTTCTATTATTATATATCTTTAAAATTTCATTAAATTATTAATTTAATTTTGTAAATTGCATGACATTTTTAAATTTATAGTTTTTTCAATATTTTTGTAAATTCAATGTTTTTTGTCAAGTTTTTATATTTATTTTATGAATACTTATTTTATGGTTTAAACATTTAATGCAAAGCTTATCATAATTATACATTATTGATTATACTATTTAATAGGAACTTAAAGAACAGACTTGATTTTCTGTATGCTTTTCGACTAAAAAAAATAATAAAAAAATAATAATATAATTTTCACATAACTATTTACCACCTAATCTTATAAAATATCCATTCAAAACAAATTTCCACATTACTCAATATCTTAGAGAAATTTTTCTCTTAATATAATTATGATATTATTTCTTCACATGATACATTTGAGTTATAATATAACTTAGAACTATATAATTTATAAGATTTTGAAATTAAATATTACACAGAAATTTGCTTCACGCCACTTTTAATTTTTAAGTAATAAAATTGTTGAAATTGCCCTTAAATTGTACTCAAATATCATTACAAAAGCAAATACTCATACTGTATTATAAAGCTGTTTATAGTAAGTCTTAAATTAAAAAAAAAAAAATTAAAAATGATTAACTTATGCATCATTTTAATCTGTATTATACTTTAGTTAATTGTTTTTAACTTGGTTATTATTTGATCATTATTAATATTTTTTTTGCATAGTATTCTTATGCCATGTGGCTTTGATAACAACTTTGATTAGAGTAGGAGTATATATATATATCTATCATATGTATTAAATTAAACAGTTTCAATAAATCATTTTCATTTAAATTATTACAATCAAACTAGAAACACTATTTTATTCTAATTAAAAGTTACTAATCATAATTTATAATTTTAACTTAATAAATTAAATTATTTAAAGTAAGTTATATTACATGAAGAGTTTTAAATAATAGAAAAATTTAAAACTATAATGTAAATTGTTGTTTGTGTATACTATTATAGTTTTCTTTGTAATGTAAAAAATATTTTTATTCTAGAAAAGTATTTGATACATTTAGTATTGTTTAATTATGTTATAGGTTGAATGTGATAAAATGACTGTTAAAACTTCCAGAGTGAATGAAGATAAACCACTTTTAACTGGTACAGCTATTCTTTACAACCAAAATGGGTTAGTTCATTTTTATGTTGTATAGTTTTGAATAAATTAAATTAAAAATCATTTGGAATGAAGATAAGTGATAAAATTATATTTCTAGAATAAGATTCATACAAGAATATATTATTTTTTAAATATTATTCTAAAACTGAAATTTTTACCTATTATTTTTTAAAACATTATATTTTATTAAAATCTATGTAATTTCAATTGTAAAAATAAATGAATTGTATAATATATATTTTTATTAAAATATGAAATAATTAATCATATTACAGCAATAAAACAAATAAATTTATTCAGAAACTATTAGAATTAATTTAAAAATTTAAAAAATAACAGTTTTATAATTTGTTATGATTTAATTAATAGTATACTAAATTATTGCATATGTTGAAAACCAAAATTACATTATTTATACTATTTTAAAAAATATTTCCAAATTTCAAATATTCAATATTGATACCTTTATTAATGTTCTAGAAATGGTTTTCCATCGCCAATGTCTAAAACATTTCCAGTTACAAACATTTCTGGTGGTCCAATAAACGAATCATCGGAAAAGAATAGTAGTTTTGGTGAATCAATTTCAGATTACAATCCATTACTTAACAGACAATTAGAAAACCCAACATCGTAAGTTATTTATTTTGTCTATTAATAAATTTATACATATGATATAACCAGCTATTCTTAATTATTAAGTTTTTAAATAATAATTTTTTAAATTTGAAACAATTTTACTAATTTTTATTTATTTTCCCAGTTAATAAATTTAATATTAACAGAAGAAAAAAATACTGAACTATCAATTCACGTGAACTAGGTCATGTGATTCACATGTTATTTAATCTTTTAAAAATATTTGTTTATTGTTTGATATAAATTGTTTATCACCATTTATACAAAGGTTAATTATTTAAATTGAAAAAATGTTTATGAGTAATGTAGTGGTACCACATATATTTTATATTTTTTTAATGGGTTAATTAAGCTTATGTTATTGAGAATTATATAGAAATTATTTTATGTACTTTTATTTGAGATAGTTATTTTAGTTTCTGAGTGAAGCAAAGAATATATTGATTTTACAATGATAAGTATTTTTTGTTTTTGTGTTTATGTACAGGATTTTGACCATAAAGATTGCTCTGACCATCACATTCATTAAAAGTTTCTCAGGGAATATTATCTAATTAGTCACATTTTCAGAAATTCCTGAATGTCTTATTAATATTAGCAAAATTTAAAAAAAAAAATATGTATACATTATATTTTTAATAAAATTAATTACATTTTTTTGTTAAAACTCAAAAATCGTATAGATTTTAAATATCTACTGAATGCTTATATTACCGTTTGGTTTAGGTGTTATAATATTCAAAATTATAATAATTTTTAAAAGCTTTTTGAATTAAGCTATTTAAAGATATTTGAAAATATTATGCTTTTTTAACATTCTTTTGTAAATGTAGATAAAATTATTTTTGTGAAAAAATAGTATTGAAAATGAATTACAAATCTTGTCATATATATCTTTAAGTAGTTGGTAAAAAATAACTTCATGAGCATTTGAATATTAATTTTTAACTAAAATTTCCATCAACCATAAAATTCTGCAAGGTTTTTTGATATTTAAAATTAATTTTAAAATTAAAGTCATGAAAATAGGATACAAGATATTTCATTAGATGTTTTTTTTGTTGGTAATAAAAGTATTTTTCACCAGAGAGTAGTAAAGAATAAATCATAGCAATTCAAAACATTTACTTAATACTTATATTAAGAAATGTATACTGTTTATAGGCACTTGATATTTTTGTACCTTATTAAGAAATTTAGTTATAATACTTTATCAACCATCTTAAGGAATATAAACTGATCCACCAAACCTCTATCACTCAGAATCATTTTTTTTAAATCAATCCTATATTGTTAGTAGTATAATTTATCCTTGTGTCTCATCTGACTAAGAAGTCTTACAAATATTTTTATTTTACAATTAGTAGTATATATATAATAAGCATTAATTGGGTGGCAACAAGATATGTACTTATAGAGCAAAAATAAACGAGAAATAAAAAACCTGAATATTTTTGACTCAATACTATCTGAATCTTTTTTTAAGATTACAATTTTACATTTATTAGAGTCAAATTTAAAATCTGTTTGTATTAATAATTATAAAATAATATATTTAAGTTGAAATTGTATGTTTTTTTTATACTTTATACACATATTTTTTATAGGAATTTTGACACTATGGTACATTTATTAAAAGGAAATATTGGTACTGGAATTTTAGCTATGCCTGATGCATTCAGACACTCTGGTTGGGTTGTTGGTTTAGTGTGTACAACATTTTTAGGAGCTATTTGCACACATTGTATGCATATATTGGTATGAGTATAAACATATATTTGAGCTATTGTGAATTAATATTTTAATTAAAACCTATTGTAATTTTTAGGTACGATGTTCTCATGAACTGTGTGTCAGAACCCAAAGTCCATCTCTTTCATTTCCAAATGTTGCAAAGATGGCTTTTGAATATGGGCCACCCAAATTACAAAAATATTCAACCACTGCTAGTAAATTTATCAATACTTTTCTAGTACTGACTCAGTTAGGATTTTGCTGTGTATATTTTTTATTTGTGGCCACTAATTTACAAGAGGTAAATATTCAATAAAAATATTAAAATTCATATACTATTAAAATAAAATATTTTCAGGTGATATGTCATTACTTTTTTTATTTGTCTGTTCAATCATATTTGGTCATACTCTTAGTACCTATGATACTTTTGAATTGTGTGAAGAGCCTAAAATATCTGACTCCAGCATCTTTTTTTGCTACTATATTAACAGTGGTTGGTTTAGGAATAACATTTTTCTATTTACTTCAAGGACTCCCAAAAATATCAAGTATTAAAGCTTTTTCGTCTTGGAAACAGTTACCACTTTATTTTGGAACAGCAGTTTATGCTTTTGAAGGCATTGGAATGGTATATTATAGTTTTAAACCTCTGCATACATTTAATATTATAATTATTTTATGTGTATATATTTATAGGTTTTACCTTTAGAAAATAATATGAAAGATCCATCAGCTTTTGGTGGAATGACTGGTGTTTTAAATACTGGAATGGTAATTGTAACATGTCTATATACATCTGTTGGATTTTTTGGTTATTTGCGATATGGTGAAGCAGTTAAATTAGGAAGTATTACATTAAATCTCCCTGGTCAAGATTTGTAAGTACAAATTAATATTAACTAGTATTAAAAATAATTATTATAATTTTACATTACACAATATTTTCCTTGCAGTAGAAAATAATAGTGATAATAGATTTGAACATAAATAATTTATTATTTTTTATTCATGTGAATAATTCTTTTTACTAGTATATTTTATTTATAAAACAATCAAATAGAGATTTTTTTTTTTAAAATAACTATTAATTGTTACTGAAAAGCCACAAAGTACAATGACATTTTTCATAATCTTAAAAAGATTAGTATAATGATATTATATTAAGATATAAGTACAAAATATATACATTAAATACAAATGTAATTCATTATTGCATTTGCTGAATGAATTTGTTATTTAAAATATTAATTTCTATTCCATATCACATATTCTAAGGGTATTGTTGAAGAAAAACTTTTTCCGAATTCAGTTTACTTTGAGTTTGAATTTTTCATTTTTTCTGTATTATCATTTATTTGTAACTATTATAACAGTATTATCTATTGTAAGAATTTACAATGTTCATCATGTTAAACTGCTTTCCTATGCTTTGCAACTGCCCTCAATTTGAAGTATAACATTAATTTTGTAGATTAATATATATTTATATATATATATAACTTGTATATTTTATAATATGTTTTTCTATAATTTATAACTTTTATAGTTAAAAACTTTAAAATTAATTTTATAACACTCTATTTTCTATCTTTGTGTTATATCAGGGATAGACCAAGGTAAAGGAAGAAAAAAAAAATCGTGATAAATCATTATCCAAAATGGCTTACAGATTTGCATTAATTATTAGGAAACATATTTGTATATATATATATATATATTTAATTATAACTGCTCTGTTATTTTTTCATCTTAAATTTCGGTAATTTATGGTGACACTAAATATTTAATAAATTTCATAAAATAAAAATATTTAAACAATTATTTATAAGTTAATATTTTCCTTATTAAACAATAGTTTATTTATATAGTGTATTATATATTATTTTTCATCTTATTACCTTTAAATACCTCTTGACCAGTACTTCTTAAACTGGGGGGGGGGTCTTATACTATTTATTTCATCAAAACTATTTTCTTTAGTCTATTTATCTAATATACATATTAATAGTCAAATTGCATGTAATTTAAATATATAGTCAAGGAAAAATAATTAATAATTTTGATTAAAGGAGCCTTAACAGTTTTCACATTAAATTTAGAAAACACATGACAAAAAAAGTTTGAAAAGCGCTACTCTAGAACACATATTTTAACATAGTTGTCTCCAAACATCACAATTTTACAATATATATCAATCTTCATCTGGATAGAAGTGTCATCCCTCTTGATACAATCCTTCCATCACATTCCGAGTCTTCCCAAAGATCTCTTCGCTCTTGGATTCTCTTGTAAAATTATCTTTATCATGGTTCCATATGTAACCTGCCCGTTCAAGTCTTTTTTTTTTCTCGTTTACTATATCGGGTTTGATATACAGGTTATATAGCTCATCATTGTGTCTTTTATTGGTAAATTCTTCATTATATTAACTACAAATAACTGCTACATATTGAAATAAAAATCATTGAACTTATGAAATTCTCAAATCAATCATTTTAATTGGAATAAATTATTTTTACCGCTTTTAGATAAGATAAGCTAATTTCTTATTAATTTAGAGTCAATATTTTGGAAAGAAATATAAAAAAAATTATTTATTGTGATTATTTTAAAATCTGTTATTTTTACAGGTTGGCTCAAAGTGTAAGAGCTGCAATGGCATTCTCAATATTTTTATCTTATAGTCTCCAATTCTATGTTCCAATTGGTATTGTGTGGCCTGCATTAAAAGGATACTTTCACTCACAGTCTAGCCAACGTAATGCTGAACTAAGTATCAGAGTGTTTCTCGTCACACTTACATGTAAATTTTTACATTTAAATAATTAGAAATGTATTGAATATTAATTTTTTTTTTTTTTGCAGTTACTTTAGCAGCTGCCATTCCAAACCTATCAGCTGTAATTTCTTTTGTAGGATCTTTTAGCAGCTGTGCACTAGCATTGATTTTTCCACCAATTATTGAACTCATTACATTCTGGGATCATTGCTCTGGCAAAGAGTTTGTGATAATGTTTATTAAAGATATAATTATTATTATAATTGGTTTTCTTGGATTTGGTTTTGGTTCATATGCTAGTTTAGTGAACATCATTACACCTATTACCGGTTAATATAGAATCATGGATAATAATGTAATAGTATCCATCAGTATTTAAATTATTGATCTTAATAATTTATTGACTTCCTAAATTGATTATAATTTTAATTCATTTTTACTATGTAGGACATGTATTTTTTTTAAGGCTTTAATCTGAATAGTTAATTTTTTTAAATTATTTCATTAAAAACTGCATAAACTTATTAATATAAAATATAATTTTTAATATCAAAGCTCTATTAGGTTATTATAATGATACTCGCTATCATTTCTTGTAATATTTTAAGATTTTTAAATTTTAAAAATGTGTAGGTTTTTAATTGCTTTTTGCATTGTTTATTTGTGTTTAAACTATTAAACTAATACAGCTAAACTTTACCTTTTGTAATTTGAATCAACTATGATTTCAATTTTTATAACCACCTATATATGAATATTAAATTTAATTATTGATATTTTTATTACAATTTTTTTTAATTATTTTAAGTCTAAGTTGATTTAACATTTTATACTAGAAAAATTATAAAACATATATTTCTATAAAACCAAATACTTATGAGAGGAAATGCACAATGTTTAAGCTGCCTCTGTTGTCACTAGTTCCTGGGTAACTTCTGGGTTTCTAGTTCCTGGGCAACTTCTGAGTTTAATGTTACAAAGTATTGTTTACAGAAAAATAAACCACTATAACCAACATTTTAAAAAATACTACCTTCTAATAATATAACTATTTAACATTATTTTATTTCAAAATTAAATTGATTATGAATTTACATTTTTAAGAACTTGTACATAAAAAAAATTTGTAATCCATATAATAATTTTGAGGTATCAATTTTTAACATATTGAAAACCTATATTTGAATTGAAATAAAATTATATAAATATTTAATTGATGTTTTTAAATAAAAAACGTAACATTTTAACTTAAATGAATATGTAACTATATTATATATTATTATACCGGACCATAATAGTATTTATTGTTATTTATATTATTTTAGTGATCTTGCATTTTATTATACCTTCGTTATTCTGTCCCTAAGCTTTAACTTTTTACCATATTATGACTAACTATTATACTATATTAATTATTATTATAATTAATTGTTAATAATAGTATATGACATTGTAATAATTATATATGTATATGTTATGTAGTTTTATTATACGACTTGTAAAAATATTATTTAACTATGTTCATGACGATTTTGTCTGTAATATATTGTGTTATTGGACAATAAGAAAACTATGACAATAAATTTGAAACTAAGTTTCTTTTTTTTTTAAATGTATTTATTTTCATTAGTTAATTCCTATCACAAAAGATTGCAAAATACAGTTCACTAAAATGTATGCATAATCAGTAATAGTTAATTATTTTAAAATTAATTACTTACCTTTCTCATTTCTAAATAATCTTTTTATTTAATTATTGACAGAGAATTTAATTCACAAATATTTAACTTTTATCATGTAAAATATTACGGTTTAGGTAAATAATAAATATATGTGAATTAAGTGAACAAGAATTTTTCAAAATTGTTATCCCACATATATATATTTTCCCTTAAATGTTAATTAAATTACTAGGAACAGAAAAAAACCTTTTAGAATTTTATGTTTACTAGGAAACTTAAAAAAAAAAAAAATATTTTAAAAAATTCAGAATAATCTATAATTACAAAATAATTTATACTTAAAGTAATTTTTACAATTATTTATTATATTTCAGAAATAATAAAATCTGTTGACATATTATTTCATATTTAATGTATCTCTTTTTTCAATTTGCCTTAATGCTTTTTTCCTCATTCTCTTAATCTTCGCAGGATTTTTAATCTGAAACAATTAAAAAACGTATGTTTAAAATGTTGAAAAATACAAATATTACAATTTAAATAAGTTAATAATAATAGGAATTAGTAGAAAGACACCTCAAAAAATAATCATATATTCAAAATAATAGTTTTAAAATTTGCTGAGTAATTCAGCGCTTATAAAGTGTCCCCTTTAACATTTCTCTGATAACACTTAACTGAATGTTAAAATTACTTATACGGTACAAAACATTTGAAAAATTGTCTTTGCAATTTCATAGATGCTATTAGGTGTTAACCAGTGTTCTAGAAAAAAAACCTCATAAGATATAAATTATATAGTAATATATACTTACATATACCTTTATTTTTAATTTTTTTTTAAAAAAATATTTAAAATTGTTAATAAAAACAATAAGTAATTTACAATTTTAAACATTTTTATAGCACAAGAATACTTTATGGAGGAAATTATTCATTATTAACGCCTTGGAATATATATATATTTATAATTAATTACCTAGTAATTGTAAAAGAATTTATGGAACATTGAAAATGATAAATTGATTAAGATCACCTGCTCTTTTTTGCTACTTTAAAATCTAAATACATTTAACTAATAGGTACAACACTTAAGTTTAGGAAATTTATACATAATTATTACCAGTTGAACAACTTCAGACTTCTTTTGATTTTCAGCACGCCGTTTGATGTTTTCTCTTCTTCTTTCTTTTCTAGCTTCATTTTCAGCGTTTCGTTCATTAATCAAGGATCTAGATAATTCTCTAGTTTTTTTAATGTCTTCTCTTAATTTTTGTTTACGTTCATATGACAATTTCAATCCTTTAGTTTTATTAATGGATGAAAACCTTAAAGAACAGTCTATTTTATTTACAATTATCATTAAAATGGTTATTAATTAAACTATTCATTACTTAGTTTTAGGAGTTTTCCAAAATCGTCCACATTTGGGCATACCTCGTACTTCCACAATTGTTGTTTCTTTAGACATCTTAAATTACTAGAACCTATTCAAAAAGTGCTTGTGAATTTTATAATAGTATTCATGTCCATGTTTCACGTGGTTCTTATCAATAATCATTGTGGTATTGATATACAATGATATATAAACGATTAATCAAGATTGTCACTGGTTGCCAATATATATAAAAGTATCTTAAAATATATATATATCGCAAAAATCGAATTATGGCGTTTTAAAAATCCGTAATCGTTATGAATTTTGTAATTTTTTATTTATTTTTTGTTGATGAAAGTTGGTAAAATATATATAAATTACATTTATTGCCGTATATTATCGCCGTTAAATGAAGAAGTTGTAAACGTTAATGTTGTGGTAGAAGTGTACATGGTACTAACAACAACTTATGCTACACGTTTATCAATTTTGTATTATATTGTTGGTAGCTATCAAAAGTCACGATTCCCAGGTTCGTAGTGCTGCAATATACGACTGTTTATTGTAAAGTTTGTTGGTGCATTATTAGGTATAAACTAATATGTTCGTAATGTTTGAATTAATTTATTTAGCTATACATTTTGTGTTTTTATTATGAATGTAAATTTTTGTTTAGATTGTTAATTTTTAGCTTTTATTTCATTTTATTTATCGATAGTTGACAAGACATAAGACACATCAAAAATGCCACGAATTATGATCAAAGGCGGTGTTTGGCGAAACACAGAGGTAATATTAATGAATTTGCTCTTGAAATATTTGTAAACCATTTTTTTGTTTATTGTTTTTAAATAACTTGAAAATAAATTGACCGATAATTTTTAATAATCTTTAAAGTGCGATTAATCATGTATTGAAATTATAATTAAATAAATAACAGAATTTATGATTATTACAACCCAGTACCACATTAAAAAAAAGTCGTTCTGGGGCAAATATTTTATTGGCATCCTCTCCCCACAATAAAGAAAAACAATATACAATAATATTAAATTAAGATATAACATATATTTAATTACTCAGTCACAGTCACAATCTATTAGATTACAAGTTTAAATTTTAAATCATGTCTTCAGTTCAACAACCAGAATAAGCCATTATATTCTACCCTGAACCAATCAAGATTATCAAATGAATAATTTTATGGTTTTCAATTTTATTTTTTCCCATTGACTGTGTATTAAATCTTAGAATGAACTGAGAAATTTAACTTTAATCACTATTTTTACAATATAACTAATTACTAAGCATAAAAACAAAAAAAAAATTTAAAAATATAACCCCTAAAATGTTGGCGTCTGGGGGATTTGCCCTTTTCACCATTCTTTAAATGCACCTCTGCTACAATCTCAATGTAAAAGTTGAAATATAAATTTAATTAGGTCTAAACCATAAGCAATTAAATTAAATATGTATAATATTTATTTAATTGAGAATTATATTTCAGAAAATAATGTCTCTGAATCCGTATTAATACCTTTAATTAAAATGTTTTCATTCTTATCTAATCATTGTAATTATTTATTTTTCTTTCAAAAATATAAACAAGTAATTGTTTAAAAATTATTAGTAATTGCATATTAGACTATATTACAATACATTTTTGAAAACAGTATAGGTATAATTCTTAATTTAACGAATTCATTTTTTTTTTAGGATGAAATTCTTAAAGCGGCTGTTATGAAATATGGCAAAAATCAATGGTCTCGTATTGCTTCATTATTACATCGTAAATCAGCCAAGCAATGTAAAGCACGTTGGTTTGAATGGCTTGATCCAAGTATTAAAAAAACTGAATGGAGTCGAGAAGAAGATGAAAAACTTTTACATCTTGCTAAACTTATGCCTACACAATGGCGCACCATTGCTCCAATTGTTGGTCGTACAGCTTCACAATGTTTGGAAAGATATGAATATTTATTGTAAGTAAATACTTAACACTAATGTTTTCTGTTATTTTGTTTCACTGCTTTTATCAAGAAAATAATAACACTCTTAAATGAAATAAAGTTTATTTAATATCAGAGTTGATTGGTGGGAATATAATTATTTTTCTAATGTTTTCAGAGATCAAGCACAAAGGAAAGAAGATGGTGAAGAAGTTGGTGATGATCCAAGGAAGTTAAAACCTGGTGAAATTGATCCCAATCCTGAAACAAAGCCAGCCCGTCCAGATCCAAAAGATATGGATGAAGATGGTAACTAACAGTTATTAATTTGTAAACTTAAAATTATTTATAATAAATTGTAATGTTATGTGTATGGAGGAAATTTTTAATTAAACATTCAATTTACAGATGAAAAGGTTAATTTTTATATTAATTTTATTTACAACCAATATTAAACTGAAGTATTTTATGAGCTTAAATACTTCAATCCCATATTGATCTGATCAACTTTCTTTATTATATATTTAAACATACTATGATATTAATGATATAATATACTATGATGAGATAGAGCTAGGTATATAAATATATAGACATATAGGTTTATAGGCATAAATGTAGTTTAGCTGTCAAGATATTTTTAGCAATTTTTTTTTTTTTTAATTTGTATTTTTGCATATATAATATGTTGGTATTTTTAAAATAAGAAGTTGTATGAACTTCATTTAGAGCAGAGGTTCTCAACTTTTTTTGACGCATGGCATCCTTTATTATTTTCTAAAAATTTGGAGGTACCCTATAGCCTATGCCCTATATTCTATAGTTTATACTAAATACACAATAGTAATATATCGTATATTTAAATTTATATTTTGTAACTTTGGTTTTATTTAGCATTAATAAACAACAAAGATAAAATAAAGTCACAAGTATTTCACCGTAAATAACTTTAAAACAGTTCACATCAAATCTCTAGCAATCGAACCAGTATGAAAATTAAAATAAATTGAACATCTCAGTATTACTATGTAAAAATGATATGTGTTATATAATTAATACAATACATTATATTGTATGTACCTAATTAATTATACACAATAGGTTTTATACTATAGACATAGTGTATAGTCTGTTTTATTACATATTGAAATCAAGTAAACTATTTTATCCATGTATATACTTGATTTTCCAATACATTTTTTTTACTACAACTTCTATAGATAGTCAAACAAACTTTTTGAAAGTACCATCTGATTGACCATACATTGAGTACCATATATGTGAAAATACACAATTTGGAAAAAATTACTAAATTAGCTTGAGAGATAAACTGCATTAATTCTAAAATATAAATTCATTAACTCTAGTTATGCCAGAAATGATTGTGCATCAGTTATTTTACCTTGTTAAACGATTTTTGTTTAATGATCATGAATAAGTAATAGCCTTACATGTACTTCTTTTATTAAGTTTTTTTTTTTTTAATCAAATGGAGTAACAATTTTAGAATATTTTATAGAAATTTTAGAAAAATATAATAAATAAATATGATAATTATTATCTAGAACTGGAAATGTTGTCTGAAGCAAGAGCTCGTTTAGCTAATACTCAAGGAAAAAAAGCAAAACGTAAGGCTCGTGAAAAGCAGTTAGAAGAAGCCAGAAGACTTGCAGCCTTACAAGTAATCTATTTTAAAGATGTTATTAATTGAGTATATTAATTAATTATTGTATTTTTAATTCATAGAAACGGAGGGAATTACGTGCTGCTGGTATTGGTGTTGGAAGAGGCAATAAAAGAAAACGGGGTATAGATTATAACGCTGAAATTCCATTTGAAAAAAAACCGGCCCTAGGCTTTTATGATACTGCTAATGAAGAAGTTGATCCACTGGCACCAGATTTTAGAAAATTAAGACAACAGAATTTAGATGGAGAATTAAGAGTAGAAATTGAAGAGGTATTTTAACTAAAATATTTTTTATTTTATGGTTATTTTTTCAATTTTAATTTAATTCAGAGAGAAAGAAAGAAAGATAAGGCAAAACTAAAGCAGCGCAAAGAAAATGAAGTTCCATTAGCAATGTTGAACAATCAAGAACCTATTAGAAAAATGAGTAAACTTGTTCTTCCAGAACCACAAATTTCTGATCAAGTAATATTTTAGTTTTTGTCACAATAAACTATGTTCTAATAACACTAATTATTTTTATTTAAAAAGGAATTACAACAAGTTGTTAAATTGGGACGGGCTAGTGAAATGGCTCGAGAAATTGCAATGGAAAATGGTCCTCAACAGGCTTCGGATGCATTACTATCAGATTATACACCTTCTATTAATAATATACCGGGTCGCACTCCAAGAACTCCTTCGTTATCTACTGATAAAGTTTTACAGGTTATTTACAACAAAGTTTTTAGACAATTCAAAATTATGATACAAATTTATATTTAATTAGGTAAATAAGTTATATTTTATTCTTTGTCATAGGATGCACAGAATATTATGGCACTAACACATGTAGACACTCCTCTTAAAGGAGGGCTCAATACAGAATTGCAAAATGTTGATTTTAATGGTGTTACCCCGCAACGACAATTGATTACAACTCCTAATACAATTTTAGGTACTCCACTTTCCCAAACTACTAATGATGGCTTCCAAACACCACAAACTGATCGATCAATAGTAAAAGCTGGTATGGTAACACCCACTCCTCTAAGAGATCAGTTAAGCATAAATCGCTCAGATTCTATGGAAGTGGATATTTTAAATACACCTCAAGCTATGAAAAATTACCAACATCAAGTAAAAGAACAACTCAAAGCAGGGCTGAGTACATTACCACAACCAAAAAATGACTTTGAAATTGTTGTTCCTGAAGATCATCTTCAAGATGAAGAAACTGAAGTTCAAAAAGATTTTGTAGAAGATCAATCCGATATAGAGATGCGTAGTGCTGAAGAACTTCTTGCTCATCGTAAGTAATTATTTGAAAATTATATTAATTATTTACTTTAAAGTAACTAATACTTTATTATTTTAAAAGAAGTAAAATGTATAAGTATGTATATAAATATTACAGGAAAATTAGAATTGAAGTTACGGTCTCAAGTAATTCAACGATGTTTACCTCGTCCGCCAGACACTAATATTGTTTTGAGACCTTTAAACTCTGAGCCTCCTCTAACAGATCTTCAAAGGGTTATTATTTTTTTCTACTCTTAAAAATAATTCATTATAATATTCATTGTTTAATATAATATAGGCTGAAGAACTGATTAAACAAGAAATGATTACAATGCTTCATTATGATGCTGTTCGAAATCCTCTTCCCCCAGAAGTTGCTATACTGACCCAAAGTGGTCCCAAAAAGCAACCAATTTTAACAGAAACACAACATTTGGCATATTTACAGACACATCCATATCAGCAATTTACTGAAGAAGAAATGGAGAATGTAATAAAAATATATTTATCATTATTAACACTTTTTTCTTTATACATTCTACTCTTGACAGAACTTAAATATACATACAAGTTATTGAGATTATTAATACTCAATTTGATAAATAAATCTGTTTAACTTATTAATATCTACTATTAGGAGATTTTAGGGGGTTAATATTAAGAATTTGTGAAATATATGATACAAGATAGAATATTTAACTCTTAATACCATTTTAAGTAGAGTCCTTAAATTTTATTTCAGGCAAAACAAATTTTAAAAAAAGAAATGGAAATTGTCAAACAAGGTATGAATCACGGTGATTTATCATTGGATTCATTTACTCAAGTATGGGGTGAATGTTTGGGTCAAGTATTATTCTTACCCAATCAAAATCGTTATACTAGAGCAAATTTAGCTAGTAAAAAAGATAGAATTGAATCATTGGAAAAAAAACTAGAACAAAATAGAGGTCATATGACTAAAGAAGCCAAAAAAGCTGGGAAAATGGAAAAAAAAATTAAAATTATTCTTGGAGGATATCAAGTAAATTATATAAGTTTTATGATTTTAGACTAGTTCACTTTTTAATTTGATAATTTTATTTATTTAGACTCGTTCTCAAGGCCTTGTGAAACAATTTCAAACTCTTGTTGACGAAGTTGAACAAGCACATTTAGAATTATCAACTTTTCTATTTCTGCAAAGACAAGAAGAAGCTGCTATACCAAAACGATTGCAGGTATATCATTTAATTTAAAAAAAAATTATTGTATAAGTTGTTATTTTTAAAAGAATTAAATATTCCTTTTATATTTGTTTCATTAACATTAGTTGTACTTAAACTTAACAAACTAAAATTAAAAACCATTAGAGTTGAACAAGTATTGTTTTTTAATGTAGAGTTGAGTTTAAAATTTGAGTACTCGAAAAATGCCAGTGCTCAAGAAAAAAGTCGTGGTTACCAATCAGTATAAAATATTGTTATCATAAAAATATAATATCAAAGTAATAAAAATCTTTTTTTTTTTTGTTTGTGAACCGAGTACCGGACAAAATCTGTTTGTCATAAGCAATAACAATATATTGTTATTAATTTAAACCATTGATCTTCGTGGTATTTTCTATCCAAAATATTTGACTCCCGTTTACTATAGTTTAAACATTTATTTTTCAATTAATTAGTGAAATAAACACAGTTTATTCTAGTAAAATTGAGTATTTATATTTATGAGTATAAAAAAATGTTGTCAAGACGAGTACTTGAACTTGACTCAACAAAATTTTACTTAATCGAGTACTCGTCAAACTCTAAAAATCATTATTTTTTCTTCAGTATTTAATTTAAAATAATATATATTTTTATTTTTTTTTATATTTTAGTCATTAACTGATGATGTAAATCGTCAAAAAGAACGAGAGAAAATTTTGCAACAAAAGTACTTGGACCTTGAAACACGATGGAAAGAATTAAACATAGGAAATGATACAATAGTCAAACCATTAAAAATTGAATAATTTTTACTGCACTCATGTTTTATTTTTAATTTGTATTAGATATTTTTCATATTTCATAAAAATAAAATTTATTAAATAATTTAACTTGCATTACACTAAGAAAATTTTTATAAAAAAAACTTATCCATAGTTGTATTGTAAAATAAACATTAAAATAACTCAAAATACAAAAAGACTAGAGATTTTCCACACTATATGATGTTTGTTATTCATTCTTATAATTTCTCACATATAGAATGAAAGATCAAATTGTGAACTTATTAAATCCTTGGCTTAAATATTCATATTTTCATTATTCCGGCATGTATACTTTTCGTATATGAAAATTAACAACATACTCAAAGTTATCTCTTTGAACACTTATAGCAAAAGGATCTGTTGGATGGAATGTAAATGCTACTAGACGTCTGCGGTCAAGGGTTGGTCCTTTCGATTCGCTAGTATACAAACAAAAACTTAATAGTCCTGATTCCCTTGAATAAAATCTATTAAACATATAAATAATAAATACTCACGTAATTAAAACAAATTATTATTTTAATATTTTACCTTATTGGATATTCACCTACTACTTTAGGTCTTTCCATGGGTGACACCCACTTTTCATCATAACTATACAGAGACGTATCTAAATAAGGAGAACTAGTGAATGATTGGGCTGCTACTGGTAATTGACCTAATATTCGTTTATTTGCTTCCATTGTACCACCAAATTTAGCATTTATAATTGTATTTTTAAATTTTTGATGTGATTCCCTGAAAATGAATGTTTTTTTTTTGTAAATTAATACAAGCTTTCATAATATTCAATGTGTAGATTTACCATGAATGAATATTATTTGCTGGTGAACAAGGCATAAATCCTTCTGGGTTAATATATGAGTTACGAAAATTATCACAGAAATGTTCATATATTTTCAATAATTCATCAGATGTGTTCTCAAAGACCTCTAAAACCTATATAAAATTTTATTAAATGTAATATATAATTATTAAAGAAGTTATTATTTGAAATACTTAATATGTATTACCTAATTTTAAATGTTTATGGAAGTATATAGCAGTTTACAGATTTTGAATATTCAGTTTATTAGAGAATTTGATTTTAAGTTCTTTGAACAGTTTACATTTTATTTTAATAGATTTCATTTATGTAAACAATACAGTTTGAACTAGTCCATCAGTATATTTACCTTAGTTTTAATTTCCAAATTTTACATTTACTTGATAATTTTTCAAGTGGATTTTATGAGATAAAAAATGTTTTAATACTACAAAACTAAGCGCACAATTATGTTATTCATTATGACATAACAGCTAAAAACAAAATGAATACCATACTGAAGCTTTTCGTATTGTTCTATAAAAAAAAATCATTAAACCAATCAAAATTTCTATCTTTATTGGTAAACAAGAAAAATAAGATACCTATTGATATATTTTTAATAATTATATATTCAATTTAAAGAAAGTTCAGAATACAAAATTCATTCAATAGTAAAGAATCGTAGAGTTTTTTTTAATACTTAACATTATGTAAATTTTTGTTTACAAAACTATTTTAATCAAACAATATATTTACTGTGGTTGTAGCCATATTATAAACCATGAAAAATGATGCTTGTGTATTGGGTTCCTGAATTTTAATTGTAGCTACTTCTTCTGAAGCATATCTGATAAGTATATGTTCTTCATCTAATAATTGCATTTTCCACATTCGCAATGACAAAAACTGTAAAACAATTAATAAGATGAATTTTTAAAAATATCAGTTATCAGTTACAAAAAAGTAAGATAGCTAACTTGATTAAAATATTGATAAAATTTTCTTAGAGGATATTGTGATCCACTTCTTTTGGATTCACGTTCAGATTTTTTATACAAAAACACCATTAACTTGTGTTTTAACCCATTAATGCTATTTTCTCTAAAAGGTCTATACATTGCACGATTCATAATTGTATAAACTGATGTAACTAATAAATGATCATCTTCATAACAAAACCGTCCAATTTTTCTTACCAAGCAAAAACTGTTTCGAATAATTTTATAAACATGTATAATTTGATGTTGAACTGACAGAACAGCAAGTGTATTGTTAAACAAATATAATCCTTGGTTATGAGATAAAAATATTTTATCAGATTTGAAGTTCAGATAGTGACTCACAGCACCAATATTTAAGTTTACTAAATGTATAGTATAGTCTTCTAAAGGTAATAGAGGATTTGGACTAACAGCTTCATTATTAGTATAAATTTCATAGAATTGAGGTCTTATATCCTCAGGAATAGCTGCAGCAGAACCTACAACAGCATAATGGCCATTTTCTGTGAATAAACTGCATTCTCTATTCAATTGTTCTCCTTCAGGTGAAACTCTTATTCTATACCTCAGTTTAAATAACCTTTCAAATATTCGCTTACGGACATTATCACCTTCATTATTTTGACCAATACAATTTCCTTCATAATTCTTCAACAAATTAGCTGCCATTGAACATCCTAAATAATCATACACTTCAATAGAGGTTTGATCATGAGAAAAAGCTATGAAGTGTCGGCCATCAGGAGTAAATTTTCGTAAATAACATGGAGGTTTCTCAACATTTATTATTGTACAATTGGGATAAACGGTTTGATAAGTAGCTTTGACACAATTCATACGAATTTTGGTTCCATTAATCTCACGATCATACAAAGAACGAAGTATAGTACGACGAGGTACTTTCTTTTGCTTAATTATCCCTGACTCCGAAAATATTTTCGACATATCTACTATTACATATCAATATGCACCAACACACAACCATGAAGATAGAATAAAGTTGTAAAGACTGAGAAAATATGCAATTAAGAGTAATTTTTATTATAAATTTAAATAGGTACACTTTAAGAATAAATTAACAATATGAAACATATTTATTTATTAAATAAACCATATTAAATACTAATATGGAAATAAAATATTTTTATTAAATAATTTAAATTATAATAATAAATTAAATTTTGTTAAAATCTCAATTTATATTTTAATAAATACTTTTAAATTAAAAAAAAATTTAATTTTTTATTAATTGATTATTTACGAATAACGAATGTATAACTTCTGTACATTTTACTATTTACCTCCTTTGGTATATTAGATAACATATAATCTTATCAAAATAAAAACTATTTTTTCCAACTGTTTCAGATTTTGTCATCTGATCATACTGAAATAGTTCCGCCATACGAATAAATAACTGAAATAGTTAACACATACATTGTTATATTCAATAACTAAATAACATGTGTGTTGAAAAATGCATGATAACATTTATTTTGGAAATTTTGAGAAACATATATGGGTTGTAAAAAATTAATCAATTATTTAACAAATAAAAAATACATTTAAAGTCCCAATACATATTATATTATACATTTTTATACAGTTAAGTTATTTATAAAACATTATAATAAGTAAGTTGTTATTTTATTTGTGAACAAATATTTTTATATTTTTTTTTCTCTTATATCTGATTATTAATAATTTTATACTTTAATATTATATTTATACAAAGACCACAAATTGAAAATCACATATAATTAATGTATTCTTATTTATATTATAGCATTATTTTAGAAAAAATGCATTCAAGTTTTGAACATATTTATGGATAAATGTACTAAAATATAGGTGAGTAAGCTTTCTAAAAAAATACCTTTTAGATATTATGTCACACTCTTCTCAAAAAATGTTTTCAAAACGAGTGTTTTTCCATAATTATTCATTTGTGAAGTTTTCTTCTTCATCGAAAAATAATTTAACAGATAATATTAAAACTTTCAAGAAAAGTATGCCTACTATAGTTGAGAAAATTGAAAATGTTTCTAAAAAGACACACCCAGAAATAGAAAATATACAAGGAGATTTCAAAATTTTAAAGAGTATTGGTCAAAAACCTGTATTTGATTTTAAACCATTACCTTTAAATATGCTGAAGAAAGTCAAATACTGTCTTAAGACAGATAATTTAACAAACTATTGTGGTGATCGTAGTTATTACTTTATTGGCCCATTAGCAAAAATTGAACATGCCCTAATTCAATTTACTTTATCAAAACTAATTAAGAAAGGTTTTAAATTAGTTTCGGTCCCAGATATTTTACCTGATGAATTAATTAAAAGATGTGGAATGGATACAGTTGGAGAAAGAAATCAAATCTATACACTTGATAATAATTATTATGGTAAAAAATGGTGTTTATCTGGAACTTCTGAAATGGCTTTAGCAGGGTCTTTAATGAATAAAAATATCCCTAAAAATAAACTTCCACTAAAGCTTTGTTCAGTAAGTCGTTGTTATAGAGCTGAAGTATCTGACATTGCTGAAGAAAGAGGTATGTATAGAGTACATCAATTTAATAAAGTTGAGATGTTTGGAGCATGTTTACCTGAAGAATCAGAATATATGACTCTTTATTTTCGAAGCATTCAAGAAGAGTTATTTAAATCTTTTGATTTACATTATCGTGTACTAGATATGGCCAAACATGAGCTTGGAAATCAAGCATATCGTAAATATGATATTGAAGCTTGGATGCCTGGTCGTAAAAAATATGGAGAAATTTCAAGTTGTAGTGACTGTACAAATTATCAATCTGTAAGACTAAGTATCAACTCTGATGGTACTTATTTACACACTGTTAATGGAACAGCATGTGCTATTCCTAGATTGATTATTGCTCTTGCTGAAACTCATCAAACAGCTGATGGATCATTTAAATTACCCAAGGAACTTCATTCTCATGTTATCGGACAACATTTGTTCAAAAATCTATCTAATTTTCCTAAGTTTACTCCTATACAAGCACATAGATATAAAATGTAAAATGTATGTTTATGCATATTATAAATAATATTAATAGTTATTTAATTATAAATGTGTTATTGAACTTTCATTGGTTATTTTATGATATGAAATATATTTTAATTTTTTTTTTCAAATTTGTTTATTTTACTAATTTAATTAATATTACATTTTACAGTTACTATCTACTATGGAAGAATCTATCATGCTAAAATCAATGTTGAACATATTAAATAGTAATTCAAAGAATAAAAAGGCTGTTGTAGATGCTTTACCTATAGTATTAAATACTTACAATATATTTGAAGAACATGATATTTACGAGTTGATTGTGACTAGTGCACATTACTTATGTTTCCAAATAATTAATCCTCAATTTGACAATTCTACATGGAAAGATTCTGATGTGTCCTTTGATCATTTAAAATCCTTGTTAGGGTATTTTATTACTATTATTAAAGGACATAGTAATTCTGATATTATTCAATTATTCCAATATTGTATAGAATTATCAAACAAAATTGATTTTAAAGATTGTTCCAATGAAAAAATATTAAATATTGGATTTTGTATGGAAAATTTATGCACTTCATTTACTCATGAAATTGAAAATTGTACAAATCTTAACTATTTAAGAAATACATTAATTAATTTACTTACTGAACCATACTTAAACAAAAACAAGTTAGATGCTATACACTTGTTTATTAACAGCATTGTATCTATTGATTATATTCCTGTTTTATGGAAAAATATTAAACTGATGATTAAAATTTATCCTGACCGCGTTATACATTTACTATACAATATGCAAAATTTATTCTTTAATCCTATGTGTGTTAGAGTTATTTTGAATGATGAAGATTTTTGGAGTCTATTATGTGATTTACTGACTAGTGAAAATAATATTATTAGAACTTACAATAATGTAATTCTTAAACTATCAATAAACTACACAAATGAAAATGTTAATTATGTTCCAAGTCAAAGCAAAGAACAATTTATTAAAGCATGGAACGATTATATGGTTGTAATGGAAACTCTGGAAAATACTCAACAACATTTAACTTTACCAGTTTTGAGTACTGCCAAAAACCTTGCATTACAAAAAAATAAAGATGATTATGTATTACCAATGAAATGGATTACAGCTATGAATTGTAAAATGTTTTCACATAGTTCCAAACATGTTGTTTTGACAAGTATAGATATCATTACAAATATGCCAATATTATTATTAAAAAATAAACAACTATTACTGTCATTTGTGAAATCCTTAAATAATGTGTTTTTATATAAAATGTCTAGTGAACTATGTGTCGATCAACCTCAATTGGAAATTATTCTATCAACGTGGCTTGATAAATTAACGATTTCCAATGATGGCCATGATATCTTTGATATATTTTTGTCTTGTATCCCAAATATAAAATGGTCAATTGTACCTTTAGTATTTTTAATGAAATCACTGGCCAATATTTCATTGCATTCTTGTTTAAAATTGAACATTATTGACCATATATTAAAAATTAAGTCTACTGTTGAAAATATGCCAAATTCTTATTTAAAAATGATTGTGTTATCATTTTTATTTATATTTGCCACTAAAATGTTTGTTGGTGCTAATACTGAATTTCATTGTGATCTTTTTGATTGCATATTGGTTTATAAAAAAAATACGAAATCTTGGGATTACCTGATTAATTCAATTCGTAAAATTAATAATTTTGAACATTTGGATAAGCAAATATCACAACGTTTAAATGAAAAGGACAAATTATATTCAACGTCTATTGGAATATTAGCTTTATCCAATATTTACATTGATTATCCAGTTTCCATAAAAAAATTACATGACATTTGTACTCGTCCAGTAGATACATTTGAGATAATATATTTTTTAGATTGTTTACTAAAAGTTGAATGTCATTACGATAATTATGAAACTTGTGTAAGTCAAATATTAAATGATAATATTTGGACTGTTACTATGATTTGGGTTGACAAATGTTTAAAAATTTCTGCAGACAGTTCTTACGATGAAATTATTTGTAGTTTTTTGGATAAAGTTTTAATTTCAAATAGAATTGTAAATACCTTAAAGATAATGAATGTGTGGCTTAAAAAGTGTAATTACATTATTTTAAAACATTCAGGAAATTATTATATTTTATCAATATATAGTTGGATTGGTAAATATGCTACAAGACATTCTTCAGAACATTCACTAAAAAATGATTGGCTGTCATTTACAAAATATTTCATTGACTCTGGATATTTTTCCCTCAAGAACAAAGATTTCTTTAATTTAAAAAAACAAGGTATGCATATAATCCCACAATTGGATATAGTTAACACATTTTTCCAGTATTCTACTGTTCCGGAAAAGCAATTACTGGATATATTTGATTGGTTGACAGAAAAAAAAGTGGAACGTAATGATAATTATTGGAGAGTATACTTTTTAACAGCTAAGACATTTTTAAGTAAATTTCCAATTCATTTACACTTGGAGAAAATAATTCAGTTCATTAGTGACTGTTGGGAGTTTTTAGTTGATTGTAGAGTATCTTGTTTTCCAGTAACCATCAAAAGTTTTATTGAAATGGCATTTCATTATAATTTGTTATCAGAAGAGAAATATGTAAAATTTGTTGAAAATGAAGTAATTTTTTCTTATTATTTAATAATAGTATGTAAAGTACTAAGTGAAAATATTTTATTTTACAGATATTGAAAAATCTTTTGACAGCCAAATGCCGTGATAAATTTAATGTTTGTTTTTCATTATTTCTTCTTAAATTTTTTGAAAAACAATCAAAAGTTAAAATTTTAGAGTTGCATCTTAAAATGTCTGCATTTTTTGCTAAGTGTTTATTATTCAGTATTGAACGATATGGCGCAACTAAGTAAGTTTTTAATGAACTATTGATGTCTTTATTTTTAAATTTTAAATGTTTTTAGAATTGAATGGGATGCACTTGAATATATACGAACATTAAAAAATTTTCCTTTAATAGATGATGTTTCGTAAGCTTTTCAAACAAATTGTTTAAAAATTAATTCTGTAAAGAACATATCCCTATATATTTATATATATATATATATATATATACATTGCAGAGTTGAGTCTTTGCCTGATGATAGATACTTACGTTTTTATACAATTCAATATTTATACAAACTAAATTCCAATGATTTATGGAAAAATGTATTAACTATATTAATTAAAACTGAGATATCATCACGAGATAGAAAATTTTTCCATAATTCTAAAGCATATCGTATTAAACAAAGAGTAGTACAAGTTTTGCTTATGATTGCTTGTGATAATCAATATAAGGTTTGTAATTATTTAACAAAAACTCAATTTTGTTTTATTTATTTATTTTATTTTTTAGCCAGTAATATTTGAAGAAAATATATATAAATGGTGTTTATCAAGTTTAAAAGAAGTTTCTCACATACATAGTGTTGCATACCAACTAATATGGTTATTGGTATTAATATATAATAACTATGATATTTTATCTAATTTTTGGAATGACTTTGAAAAAGTAATCATGACCATATTTAATTTGATTTAATTTAAAAATATAAAATTAAATGTCAATATACTGTAAATATTAAATTTAAAATTTTTAGGCTCAGGAAAATCATAATTATTTATGCTGCTTCATTTCCATAATTTATCATTTATGTAGAATAAAAAATAATAAGCAATTTGAACTTGAAGCTAAAGATCATCTTCTACCTCTTTGTTTTTCAAATGGTTATAAAATAAGATTTTATGCTCAGGTAAATATATTTCAAGATAAATGTATAAAATGCACAACTTTTATTTTTTTAGATTTATATTTATTTACTCTAATTATTATTATATAATGATTGTATTTATTAGGAAACAATGTGTAAAATATTTTCCTGTTATCCTAAGGAATCTGATTGGTTTTTGTTATGTGTATCTATGAAAAATATTATAACTACAAATGAACAAACTAAAAAATATGAGAATCCATTTAATGATTTTTTTTATCAAGAATTAGACATGATCAACTCTCTATCTTTGAAAGTAATTTAACAGTTTATTTTCATAGCTATTATTGAATTATTTAAAACTAATAAGCGTTTGATGTATAGAATGTGTGTGTAGAAGTGCCTAGATTATTAAATATTATGTATGAAGAATGTTTTCCCATAAAATGGTTAAATGATTTCTTTGCCACTGAAATTATGAATAAAAACTACGATTTATCATTGTGTTCAGTATCATCCTTTATCGAAAAAAACACTGCATCAGGTTTGCATAAATTATTAAATATAATTAAGTTTTCTGAAATTGAATATTTTTAAAAAACTATATCTTATTTAAGTTTTCTTATTTTTGATAAAACTTTAAATTTTAATTGAAAAATTATTTTGTAACAATAACTTACATTAAAATTATTTTTATATGAAATATTAAATTTCTGTTTAACTTTGGCCTTCGCTCAATAATCACTTACAAATGTACTTATTTTCATAATTTTATTTTATCCCTAATTCTCTAAATTTAATTAAAATGTAAAACTTTTATTTCATTATAATTTTCAGAATCATTGAAAGGGTAGAAATTAAAATACTATGGTTTTTCGCATTATTAAAACTTAAATATATCATTTTAATTTGAGGAATATAATTTTTAATTTTATAATTTTTCAGTTTCAACAAATGAATTGATTGTTATTAACAATTCCCAAAATGCCCAGAGAAAATATATTCCATCTCTAGCTCTTGATGAACACACAACTGCTTCAAATCTTATAGTTATTGGATCATTGATAGATAAAGTAACTAATTTAGGTGGCTTAGCAAGAACATGTCAAGTATTTGGAGCCTCAACATTTGTAGTTGATAATTTATCATGTGTAGAAAAAAAAGAATTTACTGCATTGAGTATGACCGCTGAAAAACATCAACATATTATTGAGGTTTTAATTTTTTTTTTTTTTTGTATTTTGACTTTATAATTACTTTTTTTAAGTATTTACCAAGCATAAAACTTACAACACTTATTTCCATATCCCATATTAAAATATATAAAAAGTTCACTCATATTTAAAAGATAAACATGAGCTCTAAACAATTGATATATATATATATATATATATATATTGATCATTAATTTACCGGTTAGGTTACCTAAGCCACCTTAAATAATTCCATTTCCTGATAATATTGGTTAACTGAAATGTTTGGTTAACTAAAATGGTTCTTGCATAGTTATATTTAGATTCCCGATTGTGATTCCTGTATTATTATTTAATTTATATTCACAAATTGACTGAAGTTTCAGTTCCTGCTTAAATTAATTTATTCAAGTAAATCTATTTTTTATACATTTAATAATTAATTATAAGGAATTTCAAATAAATAACTGATTAAAATAGATTATTTTCCAATTTTTTTGATAATTCAGTTAATTAAAATCAATATCTCATATCTTTGGTCTTATAGAATACAAGACTCTTTAGTAGATTTTTATCTAATATTCAATAAAATTAAGTAATTAAAGTTATTTTTAGAATAATATTCTATAAGTATTAACATAATTAACAATTATAAAATTGCCTATGTGTTTGACTTTGATAAGTTCTTGGATACTTCTTCTTGTCATGACATATTTATCATAAAGTTAATCATTTGGTTAGAAATATTTAAAAATGTATGAAAAAAACTAGATTAGACATCTTTAATACATTGTAACTTGATGTATTTTATGTCTCAGTTTAATAATTTAATATTATTTAGTTGCACAAAGTCAATTTTAATTGCTTGTTATTAATCCAAATTAATTACAATATTGTTGTTCTATTCTAAAAAAAAATTTCTAGGTGAGAGTTAAGAACTTAAAATCATATTTACAAAAGAAGAAAAATGAAGGATATCAAATTGTGGCTGCAGAGCAAACAGTAGATAGTGTGAAATTACATGATACTGAATTACCATTAAAATGCGTTCTACTTTTAGGGTAAATAATAAGTATAATAAAATCTGTTATAGGTGACCTAAAAAACTTGGTAGATTCCTATTAATGTATTAAACTATTTAATGACAATAGATAAAAAAATAAACAAATAAATAATAAAGTATTGTCTTCATAGACTAACTTAATATCATAATTTCAGAAATGTATTTTTGTTATTAATCAATACCAAACTTTAATTAAATTAAATGATATAATTTTTTGAAATGTATCTTGTAGTTTTCACAACATTTTCATTTCTTATATTTATCATTTAAGTTAAATTGTTTATCTATTCATAATAAAAGTATCATATGTATATGATTGAAAAAAATATTACCTAATCTTAGAAGAAGTTTGTGTATTGTCTCTTACTCAAATTTCTAATTTTTCATAATTATATTATGGTGTGAGGTATACATATTTTATATCAACTTTTACATTTAAATAATAGATATTGAATATATTTAACGCGAAAAAATATTTACAAAAAGGTTTAAATTTTTTCTTTTTTTTTTTTTTTAGCAATGAAACTTCTGGTGTACCACATGATTTGTTATCTATCATGGACATGTGTATAGAAATAGAGCAATTGGGTATTGTTAGATCATTGAATGTGCATGTGGCTGGTTCATTGTTTATTTGGGAATACACTAAAAGACACTGTCTTAAAGTTTCTAATGAATAAAATGCATTAAGTTATAATGGAAATAAATACATACTAATTATTTTTATAAAGTTCATTTATTTATTCACCACAAGAATATAGCAGTAACAAATATTAGTTTATACATATATTTTACTGATACATAATAAAAAAAAGTTTTTAAGTTGCACCGTCTTGTTGTCACCATTCAACAATACCCGTTGATCTCAGTAATTTCTTTGGCCTTATTTGAACCAAATGAACATAAAAAATATTTGGTTTAAACTTGTCAGATTTCAAGAGAAACAATACCTCCACTGCGTAAGAAGTTGCCGGACAGACTAATTTCGTTGCGTGGAGACCAAAGCTACTCATTTCGATTTTGCAACTTGACGCCATGTCATTTTTTTCTTATAGGGATACACTCAGTCACAAGTTTACCAGAATAAAATTCGAAATGTCTAGAAACTTAACCAAGAAATTCGTCATGTCCTCAACGATTTTGATGGTTAAATGTGTTATCCAGTGATGGTACATTTTATGGAAAGAATAATCGCCTGTAGGGCTAGTAGGGAGGGTCATATGTCCGATATTGTTTTTCATTGTTAAACCTTACCTTCTCCCAAAGAGAATGTTGTTGTATTTTTAATAAATAAAGAAATAAAATTAATTTATAGCAGATTCCTGCTAATTCCTGCGTTATTTTTGAAACACTATATTTTTGTTTATTAACAACCTTTTTTTTTTTTTTGGGCGATTGTGACAACCTAGAAAAACTCGGAGATCAATCGCAAGTCTATTAAAGTTGGCCATATTCTGTGAGAATGGATGGAAAATATCTAAATAATCCAAATGAAGACTATTAAATAATTTTGATAATTTTTTTTTTTGTATATTTTTCCATGTTTTGATTAACTACGAGTATATTGTCTCATTATTATGGTAATATAGTATGAAAATATATTTGTTAATATCTCTAAACGGTGTTTAACATATATTAATTTAAAAAAACTTATAGGTATTTTCAAGAACATTATTTGAATTTGCATGTTATAAAAAACATTATTCTAAATGCTTCCGAGTTATGGACTATTTATGATCAGAATAAACTAAATTTTACAACAATAGATCAAGGATTCTTACCGTATATTTACTTAGACCCTGACCAAATATCCTTTTAGTTAAAATATCTATAGATTTAAAATGCATTTCATAAACTCTGGACTTAATTTTTAATGATGCACCTAAATTGTTTTCCCAAACTTTTAACGATATACATTTTTCGGTACACTAAAGGTACTTTTTGTTTTATTAGAAGGACAATATGGTAATAAAGTTAAGAAATAAAACTAACAACTTGAGTATACGGGCGTATATCGACTCCATCGAAAAAGTTTTTTTACCTGTAAGAAACCTATCAATTGCGCTGAATATTTTTATAAATCGTTCCCCCGAAAATTTATATAAGTTAGAGTTACAATAATATTTTTAGACCAAATCCGGACATCAGTTCCGTTTCACGGGGAAGAGGGGGGGGGTAAAAATTTAAAATAAACAATATTGTTATTTCATTAATACACTTTTACTTAGATCTACTCAATGTATAGGCATGTGCTTCACGATAAAGTGGCATAAGGTATACTTTCATGTCATGTAACCATGAAAAACGATATCTGTAATCGTTCACAGAACATTACAAATAACAGCTGATCGAAATGAGTTTATTTTACCCAAAAAGTAATCTATGATTTTTACCTATCGTGAATCAGTTAAATCAGTCCATCACCGTATTGTTCCGTGCCCTCAGGTATTTTGTAGTGGGGACTAGGGGATTACACGCATGTAGATATACGTTATGTGACAAATGACAGTAATGATCCAATTACTTATGATATTACGACAATAAGTTATTGTAGCGAGTTAGTACAACGATTATCACCGATATATCTTGAAGTGGAACAATATTAAATTTATTACTTAAAGCTTCTGGTATTTACTGACTAGATATCACATATTAATACAAAAACACCACCCAAAACCACCTAACTTTGAAGAATTATATCTCGTTAATGGATAAACGGAAAATGAAAATTTTAATTTAATTCATAAGAAAAAAAGTCTTTCAAAATTATGTAATTTTAAGTATAGGTTACCATTTGAAAATCAAAAGTTGATGGTGGTTTAACTAATAAATTTAAAGGTGAAAATATTAAACAAATATATAATTCAAGAACAGCGTAGATCTAACATCTAACATTTTGAAAAAAAAAATTTGAAAAAAGTTAATAGTTTTTGAGATAATGAGTGTTTTACGCTTGGTGAATCACACTGTATAACAATCAGCAATAGTTGTAGTTGGATTGAAATATAAATTTTGAACTGAGCATGTTTTTATAGTACATCTAAATGGGGTAGCGTATGTATTTGTGTTTTTGTATGGCAATAAGAAATAGGATAATGGAACATAATGTCCATTTTTAAAAATATGAATCGTAAACAGTTGATAGAAATATTTTGGGCAACTATAAAATGTACCAATCTGCAAATGTTTTGTCACTAGAGCATAGCAATTTTAAATTAGAATTTGTAGAGTAGAATAAAGTATTATTTACTGTGTTAGTATTTGGTAGAAAATCTGCTGGAAACAATATTATGTATTTAAAAAATCCGAAAATATTTTATTATATATGTTATATTCTTATATACATATGTAAATCTTCGGCGGAATCGATACGTAAAAATATTCAGTTCCAGGGGCGTATTTAAAAATGTCTTTAGGGGGGGGGGGCATAAACAAAAAGTTCAAAGTTTACATAATTATAAATTTTCCATCTCAAAAAACTGTCGTTATTCATAAGCAAATAATCAAAATACAAGTGTTTGATAGAAACATAACATTTTATTACACAAATTTATAAAAAAACATATGTATTTTTAAATATAATTTTTGTAATTACAATAACTGAAAACGTCTGGGGTGTTTATTAGCATATGCATCAACTACTTCTTCAGGTTTTATAATTATTTCAGGGTGTATATTAAGCAATGCTAATCTGTTTAATCGATGGTATCATATTATCATGATATATTGATATTCCATTATTTCACCGTGTGCCCCTGGGTGAAAAATAAGAGGGCCTACAATAATAAATAAAATATAAAATACGGTGAATAAGGGGGGGCACGGGCCCCATAGGCCCACCCCTTAAATACGCGTCTGTTCGATGCAATCAATATATACAGTTATTTTGAAGAATCGATAAACTTCAGAGTATACTACTAAATAATATTTTTTTTCTTAATATTAATGTAACAATATTACAAGTTCGTTTATTAGTTTATTCCACGAATAATTAAGATATACCATATTAATTAATCCTTGTTATATATAATAGTTTTATATTTGAAATAGTTGGATAAATATCCACTTGGAGTGCTAGTCTCATGTTTCCAATATCTTTACACATATCAGCTGTTTGGGAGTCAAACCACCGAATAGATCAAACCCATAGAAAAGAGATTAAACCAATTTCATTACAGAACAAACCACTTTTACTTAAAGACATATTTATCATAGCTCGTTGGGCATCCATACATTCTTAAACCGTGATCATAACATACTAGTGTCAATTTTGTGAATTTATTATTAATTATTTTAGTTGTTCTATAAAACGATAACTATAATGTCTGTTGTTTTCATTGATTCTCATTTTATATTATGTATTTCCAGATTTAATTAATCATTTTTTAATTTTAGTAAAATGGAAAGTGAATTAGAAAATCTTCTTAACGTTAGTGTTAAAAAATTGAACAAATCAGTTTATGGAGGTTGTATTAATAGCGGTTCAGTGTATCAAACCGAAAACAATAAAATACTATTTGTTAAAGAAAACTCGAAACCTGGGGTAATGCTTTAATAACATATTTTGGTTTAAATACACCTGAAAATAATACAAATATATCACATTTTAATTTATTTTTACCATTCTTGCAGTCTGACAAAATGTTCCATGGTGAATTTGAAGGCTTAAAAGCAATTTCCAATACAAATACTGTCCAAGTCCCTAATCCTATTGCCACAAGTTGCACAAGTAGTGGTCAACAATTTATTGTTATGGAATATTTGAATATGACTTCATTAGATGCAAAATGTTCATCAAAATTAGGCAGTCAACTAGCAGATATGCACTTGTTCAATTTGCAAGAACGATCAAGTATAAATCAATTTGGATTCCATGTTGAGACTTGTTGTGGATTTATACCTCAAAAAAATACATGGACTGATGATTGGATTGTATATATTTTTTCATTTATTAGGCAGTTGCCACAGTTATTTAAGTTATAGTCATGGTTACATGTTAAATATATTTCAGACTTTTTTTGTAGAAAATCGACTAGAATATCAGATACAATTGCTACAATCAAGTTCAGAATACAGTTTAAATAATAAGGTATCCTTAGTCTTTGACATTCATTTTATAAATTATAAGCTTAAAAATAAAATAGTAAGTTATTTATTTTTAGTAGAATGTTATAGAAAGTCACTGGACTCGGTTAAAAAAAGTAATTCCAAAATTTTTTCATGGGATTGAGGTGAAACCTTCTTTAGTTCATGGAGACCTATGGTCAGGAAATGTTGCTCAATCAAATTTAAAACCTGGTTAAAATTGTTTTAATTTGCTATACTTAAATGGGATGTATTAATTAATATCTAATTATTACAATATGTTGTTTATTTATAGTTATTTTTGATCCAGCTATTTTTTATGGACATCATGAATATGATATTGCTTCTACTATGTTATTTGGTGGTTATTCTAAAGATTTTTATGATGCATACTTTAAAAAAATACCAAAAGCTAATGGGTTTGATAATAGAATGCTATTATATAATTTATTTCATTATTTAAATCATTGGTATGATTCTTATAATTTAATATTAATAAGAATAAATTACTTTCTTTTTTTTTCATTATGTTTGTAGGAATCATTTTGGCTCTGGATATATTAACTCAACCATGAACACTTTTGAAAAATTGTTACGTATCATTAAATGAAGTTTAAATATTAATTAGTTTGAAAAAACATCCATATAAAGGAGATAAAAAATTGGATAGAATATTAAACAAAAATATCCGAACAACATTTATAATCAATATTTCTTTGTCAATATAAGATTCAATTAATCCAATGCAGTAAAATCTATTGAGTTTGAATTTTAAACATCTTACACCCACTATTTTAGTCCTGGCAAAAAAAAATTGAATGATGATTTTGGCTTATCTTGACAAGACCTAGTATTATTAACAAATATAAAACTTCCCTGTTTAATGTTTCAGAATTATTGCTTATGGATATTTGCTAACCATACTTTGTTTATTATATTTGATTGAAATAGTTTAAATAATATTATTGCAATAAAATTAATCATTACTCCAACTTTTTAATTACAATATACAATAATAAAAACATGTGTTATTTTTTTTAGTTTATAGATGATGTTACATGATTATTATTTTATATTGTATTCTGTGATTTTGTATACATTAAACAATACAACAGGTTAATTTTAACTCTTGGATACTATTCTACATATTCATAATGTACATATTATTCATAATATAATCACAGCTTAAATAAAAAGAGAGAGTTTACTGGCTGCATCAGAGTTGGATCTTGAATTTAAAATTATTACACTAGTTGGGTCCCGAATTATTTTAGGTACTGCAATAGTTGGGTCTCAGATTTTTATAAGTTCTATTCTAGTTAAGTCTTGAAATATTTTGGGTATTAAACTAATTCCTGAATATTTTTTGATAAGAACTATATTATACTAATATTTTCCTTCCCATTTTAACAGATTTAGGACTGTCTATTCGATTTCGTAAAATTATTTTATTTTTATTTATATTTATATTATATATTATGTTTAATCATATGTTTCATTTACTTATATTTGTAAAATTCTAATAATTTATATTTTAAAGGAAAGAAACTAAAAAACAAAAAAAAAACAGTAAAAACATTTTTAACCATGACTATGGTCTTAATAGATCATAGACAGTCCTAAGTTTGTTAAAATGGGAAGGAAAATATTAGTGTAGTATAATACTTACCAAAAAATCAACTAGTGTAATACGTAAAACAATTCTGGACCCAACTAGTGTAGTATCTATAAAAATCCAGGATCCAATTATTACATTACATGCGATTACCTCCTAATACTAAGAAACTAACGCCGAGTGCACTATCTGGTTTTATTTCATCTGTGATATAATCAACATAATTAAATAAAACTTGTGTTAATATTTTCTTAAATTTTAATAAATTCTAATTTGTAAAATTATAAAAAAACTAAAGGATAATTGTAAAAATGTTTATAACAAATTATGTATAGTTAAAAAATGAATGACATAAAATTTATTTGATTGTTTGAATAAATTAATTTTATTTTGAATAATTGAAAACTGGTTATATTTTTAATGCAAAACAATGTGTAGCCTAGAAAAAATTGAAGTTAATGAATAATATGTTAGTATACATCAATAAAAGTAGTTATTGAAAAATGTAAGTATTCATTTTGTGTTTATAATAATTAAAAAAATATATAGTTAAAATATTTATATTAATTGGTGGTTTATAGTGCAAACAAACATAAATTCAATGAATATGTTCATTATTAAAAAAAAAAATTAAATTACATTAAAAGTTTACATGACAACATGCCTATGATTAAATCTAAATTGCCAAGATTGGTATAATAGTCTTAGTTACAGCATTAAGTGATGGTAATGCACATATTCAAGGGGGGGGGGTAGTGGTTAAAGCCTCCCTTCCTTGAGTTCAGAAAAAATTATTAAATATATTTTTATTAAGTAAAAGTGGTTTATAGATAATACAAGCATAAAAATGTAAATCCTAAACGCCTCAAAAAAAATTAATTAATTTAATGTCTGGTGACAATAAAAAAAAACATACATATATATATTTACTTTAGCAATGGGAATTGAAATTTTGAATATTTGTACTATTTCTTATGTATATGTGTAGTACTGCACTGCTCAAATTGAAAAATGAAAGAAATTAGGTACTCAATATTAAAACAAATTAGCTTTTCCCCTTTTAACACGTATCGATTGAAATATAAACTAGTTAACATGTTGATCAAATAAGTGATATACTTCTTTTTAGGACAATATAAAAATCTACATTTCTAACTAATTAGGAGGTTCCAAGTGAAAATAGGCTATTCAGTTCAATATGTACGATATAATTTGTGACGGGATACAATCAATCTTCGAATAGTTTGGAGAGGAGGGTGAAATGTGTACCATAATTTTTTCTTCAAAAATTGTCACATAAGGGTTAACTTTGAGACACGTTCATAATCCCATATTGTATGAATAAGGAAATTCCGGATATGATTTTTAAAAAATAATGTCACATTACTTTTATTTTTCCAATTCGATCACTATTCATCAATAATTAATTATGTAGGTAGGTAAATACAATTTCCATCTTAGACAGGTTTCCAGCTTGTTCTGGTCGTTCAGGACATGGTTCAATATGGATACATAAATTGTATAAAATTAATTAGGTGTTTAATTTAACTTAATTAGGAATTTTATATTTATCTGCCACTAACCAAATGCTTTCAACCATGGGTGCGATCAGTGGCGTAGCTAGGATTTTCTGAAGGGGGGTGTTAATTATAATAATTAAATATTATATATAATACGTACAAACTAAAACTTATTTTAATTAATTAATATGTATACATAATGTCTGTAATAGAGATGTAATGTATATTCGAATTCGGATAGCTTTACCATAAATTATTCGAATATCAGTATTCGATGCTACAATACCTATTATTATTAAACGTTTTGTGTTGCACGAAAACGTAAACGAATAATTTTCGTCACGTATTGTCGCAATTGCGATAATGTTAACCTGTATATATGTAATTAGTATTGTGCATTGTTTTATATTTCATATTGTATTATTGATTTACTTATATTTCTATAATAATGTAATATATGATACGGCTCAAGGGGGGTGTCATATCTACCAAACACCCCCCTTGTATACGCCACTGGGTGCGATATTTAATGATAATAATAATATTACATAATTAATAAAAAATGTAAAACATTAAAAAAAAAATTATGAAGCCAAGTCAATATTTTTTTATTCTAGATATAATATTATATGTAAAATAGCATTTAGAAAATATTTATACCTATATGAATGTTTCATTCATATTTTATGAGTAAAAAAATAATACAATCTTTTATCCAAAAATATAATATGTACATTATTTTTTCTAAGATTAAAAAATTAATTTACTACTGGACGTACAAAGTATTAAAAGTATTAAGTAAAGGTACTTAATGTAGTCACATAAACCCGTTTCTTGTAAAATAACATGTATTACCTAATTTTTGTTTATTTTTTATAAATGAATACTAGAAGAAGGTAAAATTTAATTAATTTTAATTTTAATTAAAATGGATGAACTGATTCAAATAAACTAATGGGCCTCCTATATGAACTTGTTCGGTGTGGCTCATTATTTTCTCGAAGAAATAAAAAAATACAATACAATAAAATATATAAATATAGGTACAAATGTTTTATTATTTTGTTAATTTTTTTTGAATGTCAATAAATTATGATAATATATATTATTATATTTTTGTCATAAGTGTGATAAAATCAAAAACAGGTGTCTATTTGAATAATTAGTATGAAAAATATATTTTAAATATTATTATGCTAGTAACAAAAGCAATTAACATGTAAAATAGTAACTTATATAGCCTATAATAGACCTCAAGGTTACTTTAAGTAGATTATAGGTATGTATAAAATCAAGTACCTAATTTAAAAATCTAAAATAAAAATTTTTGGGCTAAAAAAAATAAATATACCACACAAGGTCATAAAATCTTACCTATCAACATAACCAAGTAAAAATCATTTTTTATACCATTAATCTGTTAATATACAAACATTAATTACAAAAGCAAACCTCAACAACATTGGATAGATTATCTTACCACTTCACGACATTCGACCCAGCCCATTTTTTCATGTTTAAAAATTAAAATTACTTAAAACTATTTTTAATTAATGTAATCAACAAATTATCATCAACTTTGTGATTTTTTTGCAAATATTAATGACACAAGTCGCCTAAGTATTATACTTAATACATACATAATCAAAGAGTTCTTACATTATATTTATTTATATTTTAAAATTAAATTTAAATAATTCAACAATATTTTATATATATATATATATTAGTATTTGTAGTTAATTTTATATAAATTCTTATCATTTAAAATTTTCAAATTTTATTTTTTCAATTTTAACTTATTGTCAAACCCATAGCATTTATCCCTCTAAAGTGTTAATATATTTATAATAAATATATAATAATATATAAAAATTTTATATGATTAACGGATGAGGAAAGTCATTTTTTAATCTTCCTTGATCGTTGAAAGTATAGTAAGATAGATATTTTTAAAAGATTGATGTCACTACATATGTTCCACGTCCTTTGAAACCGACTTGCACTTAGGTTGACGTGGAATAATAAAGCAAGTGTGTACGTATACACCAGCAGTCGTCCTGTTGGTTATAACTTTAGGGCACACTGTTCAAATATCGAGCGTCCCGGTGCACGGTACCTCTATTCAGCGGCAACTCCTTGCCCCTACGCTGTAGTTAGTCCACCCAAGGTCGCGGCGTCTGCGCCGGTACGGCGCAAGTTTCGCGCTCATTGCCATGTACACGCACGCTGCTACTACCGCTACAGAGCGAGCGACGGGCAGCGGGAGTCTTGAGAGTGAGGCGAGCGACCGCGCGTAACGAGTGGGAGGTGAACAGCGGTTGGTTTTGTAGGTGAAGTTAGGATAACGCCGCGCGTATATACAATTAGTAGAACACGAGCCTGCGGTGTCGTTGGCTCCCGATATGAGTCCGTCGTGCAGTAACTTTGCGTAGCGGATAAGTCCTAAAGTATTTTTGTTTTCGCCAATAATATATCAACCAAACCGTCGGAATATCGTGCAGGTCCTAGATTTTAATCGTTCATAGTTTTTCGTCAACAAGAATTCGATCGAGAAAATTACGTACATAGTTGTGAATTTGGTTCCTAATTGAAAAAATGAAACATTTGTTGGAAAACGAGATTATACGCAACAAACAAATAGTCGTCAGACTTATACACGCCGCCGGAAATTCGTGTAAGTTAACAATTTTTATCGTGCTTCACAAATTGTTATTACATTGCTATAATTATTATTAAAAAATCATGAGATAGACCCGTTGCCTACCGTATGTTAGTTGCGCTTTGAAAATGACCGAGTGTGTAAGTAGATAAACCCTATAGCGTTTTTACGGACCATAAAAAATAATCATGGGAGTGG